AATTATTATTTTTGGGATAGCATTACATTGACTAAGGAATACTCTCAAAGTGTAAAGTTTCCCGAACAAAGCTCGGTCCCCAGCTACTTGTCAAACAGCGCAATAATGTACGTTATTTCATAAAATTTGTACCTGAGAAATGTACAAATGGAAAATGCATTTCTCGTTAGTGTAAGCAAATCTTAAAATGATAGGATTTGTAATGATACGATCTTAAAACGAGCAATTCAGTATTCTTATTCAAAACACCAAACACCCGCCACTGGATCAAAATATGCCCGCACGGCGCAATCCGGCACGGTGGGAAGCCCCTCTCGTACAATTTAAATTACGTACATAAGCCAAAAATAAAAAATATGATTTAGAACATTTAACTTTTTGTATACAGAATCCACTGTTTTTAAACTAACCTGACCAAAAAATAAAATAAAGTAGTAGCCGACAAAAAAAGTTCCGTGGAAATTTGCTATGTCACGTTTCATGAAACATTAAAAATAATCGACTTCATTTGAATATTTAAAATGAAAAGTACCGGGGGACCGAGCCGTGGCTCAGTATGTATATTTCGATTGTAAAAGCAATATAAAGGAAACTCGTGTTTTCTTTATAACTAATTTCGGCTTTTATTGTTTAAGTTTCAGTGGAATTTTAATTTACTATGATGTAACTTTAAATGGACAATGCAACACATTAATTTATTTTAATCTTACACATTTCTGTTATTGTAAATAAATCATAGAAATTTAAAAAAAAATAAAAGTAGTATTTTTTTTAAATACGTTCCTAATGAATGAATTAATATGCGATCACAGGTTAATACAGTAGCAATCAACTACACAGCATTAAAACAGCACAGTGTATGTAAGGGGTGTGATTTATTTCTTGGTACTAAATTAAGTAATTCTTCAAGTATAAGTAAAACTTCAGCATGGGCATACTCTCTAACGTACTATCATATGATGGATTAGCTGAAGGCAGATAAGTCCGATTCAAGCTTATATTGCTTACTATAAAGATTGTTGTAATACAATTAACTTTAACTAGTGGTCGTCCAGTGGTCGAAAACTCGACCAAAAATATGTAATGTACAGGTTTCAAATGATTTAGGCCTAAAACTTTTTTCCCCGTGTGAGTAACTAAGGACTTCTGGATAATTTAAATATGATATTTATATGTTTCTTACTCAGGAACAATGCCGTTCCGGGACACTATATAAATGGACGTTAACGTGATTATAAATTTGCATTTTACATAGTCAAAATACAATAGGTATTGCGCAACCGTGATATGTTAAGTCATTAACCTTGGTTAACTAATAAAAACTACACCGTATGCTTACTCAAACAAAACAAAACTTGCTTACTGTACAGCAATAAATCACGTAAAGAACAAAACAAAATGAAAATGTAGACTAGAAGACTACTGATACCGTAGTCATCCTAGGCTACTACTACATGATGTTTCAGAACAGAAGTATGGGGATAAAAATATTAAATAACTTATAAAACACCATAAAATCATAGTACTGTACTTAAGTCTTTCTGGTAGTAATAACAATGATAAAAATAAGATAAAGATAAAAATTATGTAAAACACCTCTTATTATTTCTCTTTGTTCTATTCTTTCTTTGGTTTCTCTACATCCACAAGTTGTCATGGTTACTAATCACCCAACGACCCAACCACAAAATATTGTAGTGTTGTGACAGCAGACAGAAGCAGACGATTGTCAGTATGTCAGTGTCAGTGCAAGATTGTCAGTCTGTAGGTGCTAGCGTATAGGTTGACCTTGACGATACTGATCCATATTTCTCCGTTTTGCTTCCATCTTATTTTTGTTAAATGAACTGTAATATTTCAATAATTGGGAACCTACTGCACCTAAAAATTACCGTAAATAGTTAAATATATCGTTCATATCGAAATATTAGACTGAAAAACACAGTTAATAAAACATTTTCTTGGGATTTGTGAGGTTATATAATATATAGGCATCATGATGATGCGACTCCAGTTAAGCGAGGTTCTACTGTATTTGCAAGTTAAAGTTACAAATAGAAAACCCATTATGGTTTGTATTCAATGACCGATGTATTATACAAAATAAATTATAACTCATTTTGATATTAATCAGCAGCATTTATTACAGCTTGCAGCACTTATTGGTATATATAAATATCCCAGTTACTATTAGTAAAAAAATAAAAATAAAACACAAAATTGTGTGGCCATTCAATTTTTATAAACACAGTGTTATACATTTGACTCTGCAGAATACCGGATGGTAAAGAGTGTTTGATTCAAGAAAATAAAAAAAAAATAGTTTAACCTGCTTTACTATTTATTTTGAAAAATAATAGATAGGAAACCATAAGGATAGGTATGGGATTGAACTGAAATAATTGCAGGAAAACTTAAATCGTAAAGTCCACAATCTGTACATTGTTAGAGAGCGAAAGAGAGAGAGAGAGATTTGATAAGGAATCTGAAAAGTAAACAAATAATCGTTTCTGGCGTTCGTTATATTGTACCCCCCTCCCCCCCCCCCCCGTATTTGCACTCGTGACCACTTTTTGTTGCTTCCTTATCATTCATCCGTCCCAAAATATAATTCCTGTAATAGTTTGTTTGTAAAATTGAAATTATTATAAAAATATTTTATCTTTCGAGTGTAGTTTCATGGTTATTCTTATCAGATAGAATAATATCGTTGTCATATGTAATAGTTACTCCTTCGCGTTACGCAATTGCGTAAAAAACAGTTCCAGTATCTCGGACAAGATTCACGTATATTTCTCGAGATAAAGAAAATCCGTATAGTTCCCGGTCCGTGGAAACACTGTAAATACTAGGATAAAAAATATTGTATAAAGGAGAAGTTGACTAAAATTTCAACTGAAGGAAAAAAAAATCAAAATAACTTAAAATATGAGATGATGAACGGGTAGGATCAAGATTAAACCAATTATAATTAATTAATATTCGACGATCCTTATTAGAGGTGCATCATATTTATTTGGAGTATGAACATGTTTAAACATTAACACGTAGTTAATCACTATCCCAACACAAATAGTAACAAGGAGTAAACGAAGGTTACAGACCGCTGGGTTTTACCGCTACAAAGTAGGGTAGGGTGCCGTACTGGCTACACTACTCCACGATAGAACACACGATGAGACAGTCTCCGCATTGGTATTGCAGTTACGCTTATCGACACAGGCAGCAGCACCGGTTTGCTGTTTTCATACGTATAAAGTGCACGGGAAGCCATACCTGACTGGCTTATGGGATAGCTGACTGGCTTTCGGGCGGGTGACTGCCACACCGAGTAAATTACCAGCGCACTGACTGCCAAACCGGGTGGGCACAAAAGTATATATATATATATATATATACATATATAAAAATTTGAACGAATGGTGTTTTTGGCCTCTGGGGACATCAAAATGAAAAAGTAAATCGGTCCCAGGTCTAGGTCTTACCGTGCCACCTACGGTAATAGCTACTTCCCTATAGGGAAATTCGCTAAAATTAAATGAAATCATCTTTTTAAACTATAATTTATGATTTCTCTTGTATTCCAAAATTCATCCAAAGAATACAAAGGAAATAATTTTTCAATCTTTTTTTAAAAAATCAAAACTTTTTTCCTCTATTATAATTTTAGTTTAAATAAGAATTTTATGCCAATGAAACTACATTTCTTCTAAAAAAAAACTTTAATTTATGTTGTTCAACCTGCCTAGTATAACTTAATTTATAGTGTCGAATATTTGTACAATTAGTTTGGAGGTTAAATTTTTTTACATATAATAAAGTTTCATAAATATACAAGTCATAGACTGTCATAACACCTAATTTTGAAAAGAACAGTTACATTGATTGGTGTTTATTTTTAATTTTGAAAATTATTCGGAGTGTTTTTTTTTTCATGATGAAGAATTTTATCCAAATTTTTCTGAGTAGTTCCTCCATCAATTGCTATACCATTTTTCAATCTTCAGTCTCCAATTTTCAGTATTAAAGGAGACTAGTTTAATAGACCAGTGCTCTTAGTTTAATCTCCGTGAACTACAAGCGACTCGTAATCCCTGTAGGCCCATCAGGTTTCACTTCTTATACATTCCTGTTATTGTAATTTGTGAGTGTTATATATTCAAAGCTAGAGGTTGAAAATTGATTTACATCGCCAAATTGTAGGACTCTTGGAGTAAGAAGTTAGCGTAAATCGTACATCTTAAGGTGAGGCTCTTGCACATACTCCCACTACTTGATTTATTGTTATTCCCCAAATAACAATAACCACAAATAAAAATAGGCTCATTAGGCCCACCTCCATCATCTACATGGACTGGTCCGGCAGACGTTTGCAACAGGGTGTCCGGGAATTATGCGTGAATTTCGTATTTTACCGGGAATTTTCAATTTGCCATGATCGCGCATGAAGATGACGTTTCCGTGACCGCGGGAGCAGACGATGACGTTTCCATGACCGCGGGAGACGACGATGACGTTTCCGTTTAGGATAAGTTTTTAGTTTCCGGATTATTTAATTAGTAATATATAAAAATTTAATACGTGTGTCAGGCAATATTACAGTAATCATATTTTTTGTTTCTTTAACTGAGAATGCTCTTTCCGTTAACTAAAAATAGCGAGCTGTGTTAGCGCTAAAATAGCATTGCGAGAGTTGGCGCAAAACACGTTGGAAATTTTAGTATGAAAAGTACAAACTGAACTACCTGGATTTTTTTTTACTCATGATTTTTTTATGGTTGGCCTGGTGGACACCCTTTGCAAGTTCCAGATGTTCTGACTGTGTGTGAAACAAAGAAAGGCATGGGATTCCTTTTGGAAGAGATAAGAAAGAATCCCAATCATCTCATTTGTGTTCGTTTCATTCTTGGCTGAAATACACCTAAGCTGCATCTCCATTTCAGGAAAGGATTTGAAAATTCTCTCTAACTACTTACTCATATCCTATACTTGCTTTGCAGGAGTCCTTACCTCGACTGTCCAGACTCGAGGTAGACGATCCTGAAGAATACTCTCGGAATATGCATTCACGATGTCGTCTCGTAAGTTATTTGATTTTTTCCTTACATAGGTTCCAAAACAGTTTACAGAAAAACGATCTACCATCTGAATCGATTTAAACTGGACCTTGATCGGTTCTTGTAAAATTCAAATAGAAAGGTTTTGTGTAGAAAGAGTACTATAGAGATATGCTTACATATTTTAAAGGAAAACAAACATTTCAATTTTTCATTACACTTCAGATTTTTTTTAAATTTTTTTGCTATTAGGCTAAAAGTAATTGTCATAACAAATTTTTTTCTTCTATATGTAGGATTTTGTGTTTGGTAGCCATTGATATTTTTGTCGTCGACTGAATTTCCTCTAGCAACATTATTGACACAAAAGTATTGACATGTATTAGTTTACTCAACGTTATTAAATTATGGCATCTCAGCTTCGGCATTTCACATAGGTTTCATATTCAACCCACAACCATAAAATACACTAGATAATTCATTCACTTTTGACCATTGTTTTATATTTGTTTCAAGGATAAGTAGAATGATTTGTGTTAAATTTTGTCAGATTAAAATGTAAGTTTTTGTTTGTTTGCTGAAGTATACCAATGTGTTGTTAAATTACGTGGTATCCAAATCTATATATTTAATACAATAAGGGTGTTCTTTGTTACATTCCTTTTTCAGCCATCCTAATTAACCGATTTTTACAATTAAAGCCTATGATTTAGAGTGAGTGACAACTGGTAACTAAAAAGGTCATCTCCTTAAGGGCTTTGCCCTCCTAGCCCCCTACCCCCCTTATTTTTCCCCTATTTTTTCAAAGATTCTGTGATGCTGAATACTCTCGGAATATGCATTCACGATGTCGTCTCGTAAGTTATTTGATTTTTTCCTTACATAGGTTCCAAAACAGTTTACAGAAAAACGATCTACCATCTGAATCGATTTAAACTGGGCCTTGATCGGTTCTTGTAAAATTCAAATAGAAAGGTTTTGTGTAGAAAGAGTACTATAGAGATATGCTTACATATTTTAAAGGAAAACAAACATTTCAATTTTTCATTACACTTCAGATTTTTTTTAAATTTTTTTGCTATTAGGCTAAAAGTAATTGTCATAACAAATTTTTTTCTTCTATATGTAGGATTTTGTGTTTGGTAGCCATTGATATTTTTGTCGTCGACTGAATTTCCTCTGGCAACATTATTGACACAAAAGTATTGACATGTATTAGTTTACTCAACGTTATTAAATTATGGCATCTCAGCTTCGGCATTTCACATAGGTTTCATATTCAACCCACAACCATAAAATACACTAGATAATTCATTCACTTTTGACCATTGTTTTATATTTGTTTCAAGGATAAGTAGAATGATTTGTGTTAAATTTTGTCAGATTAAAATGTAAGTTTTTGTTTGTTTTCTGAAGTATACCAATGTGTTGTTAAATTACGTGGTATCCAAATCTATATATTTAATACAATAAGGGTGTTCTTTGTTACATTCCTTTTTCAGCCATCCTAATTAACCGATTTTTACAATTAAAGCCTATGATTTAGAGTGAGTGACAACTGGTAACTAAAAAGGTCATCTCCTTTAGGGCTTTGCCCTCCTAGCCCCCTACCCCCCTTTTTTCCCCCCTTTGTTTTCAAAGATTCTGTGATGCTGAATAACTTTCATTTATAACGGATTAAATGTGAACAGAACAGATAAGTAAATCTAAAAGTAGCTTAGGCCTACTTTGCTTTTTTCCTGTCTCATGTTTTGTTACTCTTTGGGGCCCTTCGATTGCTGTGCATGACACACTTACGATACAGAAAAAAAAATCATCATAACTATTTTTAGGACAAGTGACACTGAACATTGCAAACAACTTTTTATTAAACTCAAAGTAATAATAAGTTATTAAAATTTAAATTTATCACATTCTAAATTACATATTACAGACTTCAATTGAAAGAAAAACATCCCATAGTCACAACACTAGAGGAAATAACAAAATTTACCTTCCACAGCATCGCTTAGCAAAATCAGGAAACTGCTACAAAATTTACTACGTGAGATTTTTCAATAAACTGCCAGACATTGGCCGAATTGTTTCTATGATACAATTTAAAATTCAATTATCTGAGTGGCTTATTGCCAATACACAAATATTTATTATATCCTGTGATAATTAACTTTAAGGATTTAATTTTATGTAATTGACTGTTATTGTTATTATTGTTCACCTCTGTATCATGATTGTTAAATTAGAAGTATTTGTAGCCTAATTGTTAGAATTTTTATTTTTTATGTATTATTTAATTTATTGTCTATGACAATGTCTGTATAACATGGATCAACTGCAACAAAGATTCTTGATTCTTGAACAGCTGATCTTTCAGTTGAATTCTAATCACTAGTCAGATTGTAAACAAAAGACAAAACAGTTGATGAAAATGGATTTTAAATAGGCCACATTTTTGGATTGTGGTAGGTAACTCTTCATGTTGCAGACCTAAAAATAACAAATTTAATTTATTTGTAGTTTTATTCACCTAAAAGATGTATCAAACAGATGTAATCGTTGAAAAGTAAAAGAGTATCGCATTATTTATTTTGTCTTTGAATTGAATCCTATTAGAATGTGCAATTCCCGCACAAGTCACCCTGTAACTATAGGCCTATAAATCACATTGACATATAAGAGGTATAAATTTTCTGAACTAATTACTTGTAGCTAGTATTAAACTATGCCATCCGTCAAACATTAAAATAACTCTGGGATTTGCATAGTACTTTAAACCATTGGTCGTGTTATTTTCTGTTAATGTTTATTGATTCAAGTTGAAAGGATTGACCTAAGGATAAATTTTTTGCAGGACACAATAGCAAGAGGTGCTCGCCAGGAAGTTGAAGATCCTGAACCCAGGATGGTCCTTACTCGTAGTCGAACTGTGAGTCCTTGAACAACAAATTATATCAATATAAAATAATAACTGTTGTGTCAGTTCAATTTTTTAACACTTCAGTTCTTGGCCAAAACAGTTCCGGTATAAAAAATGAAAAAATTTACATACAGTAAATGTAATAAATAAATATGATAAATTACTTATTAGTGCGTAAATAGAACAAAATAAATAGTGCAGATGTATCCGCTACCCTACCATGAATATCAAAAGAATGTAAAAATATAACAACATGTCATAATGAAGAATAAAAAGTGGTTATATTATTCATCGTACAGCATTTTGCTTAAAAAATAACATTATGTAACAAACAAAACTTCTAAACAAATTCACATGTTTAGCATGGAAAAGGTGTTGTGCCACGTTTAAGGTCACAGAGCAGAGTACGTCAAAATAACGTCATGATGGCGTAAATCTGCTGGTGAGTTTACAAACGCTATCCTATCTGTCTATAGAATTGGCGGAAAACTCTGTTTCCTATATGCTACAACTACAAGCATCATTCGAATATATTTCTCATTCCTCCAGGAAAGGCTAAGGTAGACAGCGCAAGAGTAACAGTAATGTATTTTTAAGGTAGACTGCTCACCCATCCCTCATCCCTTGGAGTCTTAGGTGCAAATCCTGCCATTTACAAATTACAGTTTTGATGATTCTGCACTTTGTTTCCAGGTGGATATGTTGGGAGGTCATCACGCAGGCAGCCTCAGTTCACTACATGAGAGGGAAAGACCTCGGATGAAACCTTGTGAAGTCTTCATGCCACGGTCCCTGCAACAGCCTCACACAAGGCCAAGGGTAACAATTTAAATATTTTTCTTACACCCTACACTGTTTTAATGGACTTTCCACGTAAGGATTTAGTCCCAAAAACAGCTGTTTGTCGCCTGCTTAATCAAATGGGATTTAACTATGCAATACTGAACAGTAATAAAGTTTACTGGACACCAGGGCCCTGTTTCATAAAACTACTAGTCTGTAAAGTGTTGTAGAGTGTATTTTACAAGTTTACGTTTCAAAAACCTACTAGTGTAAAATACTAGTTACTAGTGTAGGGACTAGTATTACTAGTGGTTTTTACTAGTGTAGACAGCAATGTGTTTCATAAAGTTTTACTCTTGTAAATTACACTAGTAAATACTTGCTATTTTCTAACAACCTCTCTACACCCGTATTATTTGAAGTAGACTAGTATTTTTCGAAAGAGAGTTATTTAATTAATCACATAATAAAAAAAATAAATTATTAAGTTCTTTTTGCAAGTGCAAATTGGCTCACGTTTCCAATTTAAGATAAAAATAGACCTGCGGGTGCTAAAATGATAATTATTAGATATAAATTACAATCAATAAATGTGGCGTAGTACAAAATGAGTGAAAATGAATTTTATAATGTAAGTTATGTACAATCGCCCTATTAGAATTAATTATAATTATAAGATATCAATTTCTGTGAAATTTTATTCTAATTTTACTTGAGTTAAATTTCATGCCTATAAACTATTTAGCTATCACAGAGAAAAGATTTTTAAGCTTTGAGAGAAACCAAATTAAAACCGCTTACCGTATTGCATACAAAGATGTACAAAAATGTATCCAACATTGCAACATTAATCAGATTATTTTACACCCGAGGCTCTCAGTTTTAATTAAAGACACTTTAATAGGAAATAATAGTAAGACAATTTTAAAGAGGAGTTGCATTGATTTTCTTTTTAGGTGTTTATTATTTGTTTCCCTAAATAGCTAAAACCATGTGATGTACTAACAATTTTGTAGGCCTATATTTGATTTTTGGGCGTTGGACTGAACTGCTTATCATAAAAACATTACTTTTAATCCATTTTGGTATTCTGAATTTGTTATTCAAAGTAATAAAAAAACTAGATGTTGATTAGATCTGTTATTTTAATGTAAAAACATGTAAAAGTTTAATTAATGGAATAAAAAGTATAGTGAGAGGCGCGGTTTTGAACCAGGGACCCACCACATGTCAATAAGCGGGAATTCTACCTCTGAGCTACGCCCAGCCATATCGCTAATGCCATGTTTTACTATACTTGAAAACCTACTTCTCCATTGCTTGTAACGGCATTGCAATTATTTGTTACATCAATAAACGTTTAGGCTTATTATTCATGGTTTGTATTGTGGACTGAAAATTGGAATATCACAGAATGGTTTTTAACCCAAATATTCTTATGCATTCGAATATTTGAAAACGTAGGTTAGGGTACTTGAAAACGTTCCTAACAAAATGTCCTTAGACGATTACATTCAAAATTTGAGCCTTCTTTTCTTTACTCATATCAAGGTTAATTTTATATGTCAGAATTAAACAAAAACTATACAAATCACAGCGAATGCGGCAGCAACAGATCAACTTCCACCCAACTGTTTAGCGCCGCAACTAGGCCTACAACCGGCTACTACAATCACCGTGTTGATTGCAGCGACGCGACACCGCACCACGCCGGCGGGCACATTAATGAACACAAATAATAGCGTTTTGATAAATAATGTGTGATTGTTTTACTTACGTGTCTTTATAGTTATTAATTAAAAGAAAACACCGCGTTTCTACAACTATTTACTTTTTGTATCAAATGAAAACAAAATTAACACCCTTTATAAAAGGTTTGAAAACCAGTGATTGAGGTTAGAAATTTGTTTTCAAAGTTTACCTTGTAAAGTTGGTCACGTGACTAGTAGTTTTGGTCACGTGACTAGTAAAATACACTATTATTTACTAGCGGTATAAAAACGTTTATGAAACACAAATTAGTTGACAGGTAAATACGGGACTAGTATTTACTAGACTAGTAATTACTAGACTAGTATCTTTATGAAACAGGGCCCAGCTGATTATATTTAGCCTATTATTAGTTATTAATCAACTTAAGTATTTTATAAACATAAATAATTATCAATTTAGGCCTGGCAAAATTAAAAAGTCATATCAAGTGAACTTTATTTTCCTCATAAATTTCTTTATAATAATGTCAAAATTCTTAACCTTAAAACCAAACTTATTTTGTAAAGTGAAAATACGCAATTGTTCACATGAATGTTATTGAACATACAAATCATGTTTAAATACAGTAATTTTCCGCCCTCATAAATGTAATTCTTCACACAAAACCTAATTCTAAAAATAAAATCACAATCAAAGTTTGATAATAAGTAGTCTAATATTATTTTCATTTCTGTTGTTTTTTGCCTCCTGATCACATATATAAATTAATCTAGAGGTTAAAATACCTTTAATCCGTCAATGTGATCAATGTCACCGATGAGCGGCGACCGGTTTCAGCCCAGCTGTGGGGCCATCATCAGGCGATGAAGGAACATAAATATCACTCCGAAGAGGTCGTCATAAAGTCTATAAATACGTCACGAGAAACAACACATAGATACATTATTTACAAACACACGTGTGGCCACAAAATAACTGCGCGGCGGACGGTACGCGTACATTAAGTTGCTAGTCCAGACTGTCGTCACTGCCGTCTTGTCCATCTGCCATCCCCCTCCCCCTCCTCCAGTTCTTATCAGGTCCTTTGTGTGTTGCAAAATGACGGACTAGCCATGGGTTCGCCCTTATCTAGTATCCTTGCTGAGATTTTCTTAAACCATGTTGAGAATAAATATCTATGGTCAGATAATAACAGACTCAAGAACAAAATTGTGTTTTATTACCGCTATGTTGATGACACGATTGTCCTGTTTAATGGGACAAAAAGACAACTAAAAATGCTTGGCTCATTCCTTAACAGCTTACATAACAATTTAAAATTCACGTTGGAAGAAGAAAACAACAAGTCATTAAACTTTTTGGACCTCACAATATCTAGATCAACAGATAAATTTCAATTTAAAATATACAGGAAACCGGCCACATCATCCCAGACAATTCACATCAACTCACATCATCCTCAAAGTCATAAAATGGCAGCATACCACAGTTTCGTCAGCCGATTGCTATCCATCCCTATGAACGATAACGACTACAATGAAGAAATAAATACCATCAAGTTCATCGCAGTCTCTAACGGCTATAGAAGTGATATGGTCGATAAACTAATACATAAACATAAAAACAAAAATAAAGCTTCAACCATGAATTCTGAAAAAATAGTTTTTACTTCAACAGAATATGGCATTAGTCTAAACAACACTCTAAAAAATGAGCTGTCGAAAAACAATGTCAAATTATCTTTTAGAACCTCAAACAAATTGTCATCCCTCCTAAAAGAAAAAAGAAAATCCTCATCTGATAAAAATGAACCAACAGGTGTTTACAAAATTAATTGTGACACTTGCCCCAGTTTTTATATAGGTCAAACTGCGCGATCTTTCAAAGCACGTTTCAAAGAGCACCTGCCAAAGAAGTCCACACAGAAACAAAATTCCGCATTTGCTGAGCATATAATTACAAACAATCATTCATACACTTCAATAGACAATAATTTAGAAATTCTACAAATCCACAAAACTAAAGGCAGACATTTAAATGTAATAGAAGAGTACGAAATCTACAAAGCTGGCAAGGAAAATCCCCAACACATTTTAAACGAAAAAGCCTCTTTTGAAAGTAATTTTTTATATGAAACAGCAGTCGGCATTGAAAGAATAGAACAACACACAAAGGACCTGATAAGAACTGGAGGAGGGGGAGGGGGATGGCAGATGGACAAGACGGCAGTGACGACAGTCTGGACTAGCAACTTAATGTACGCGTACCGTCCGCCGCGCAGTTATTTTGTGGCCACACGTGTGTTTGTAAATAATGTATCTATGTGTTGTTTCTCGTGACGTATTTATAGACTTTATGACGACCTCTTCGGAGTGATATTTATGTTCCTTCATCGCCTGATGATGGCCCCACAGCTGGGCTGAAACCGGTCGCCGCTCATCGGTGACATTGATCACATTGACGGATTAAAGGTATTTTAACCTCTAGATTAATCTAATATTATAATGGCATTAAGTGATTACAATAGAAAACATAACCTCTCAGAGAAGTTATGAGTAGTGATTGTCAAGTCATTAAATTGGTAGGAAACATATTACTGATTTTGATAGTGTTCTATTGTTAGGGTAGTAATGGTGAAAAATATCGTACATCACACGTCCAAAATGTGTTTACTAGGCTACACTCGTCCAGTAAACACCTATTTCCCAGACTAATTAACCTAATATACTATAAAATTACGTTGTGTAGGTCCTTGAAATATGGAGTTCCCTTTTAATTCTGCGAGTTATGAAAAAGTCTTATTTACTATTAAATTCCCAATCACACAGACAACAATGCATATCAGCTAACCGATAATAAAGGAATGGAAGCAAGACTGCCAACTAATGAGCTTGTTTTGTCCCCAAACAGTGACTATCTGTACTTGTAATTTGGGTTGTGTGAAAAAAACACTAGTGATTCTAGTATATTTGTGCAATAAAAAGTGTTTCTTTCCCTTTTGCATCCACCTTTATCATCAAACTTGTCTAATTTGAATTTGTAGGGATGGACAGGTCTCGAAATTTTGAGAAATTTTGGGAAAATGTTAAATCTTGTCATACGAGACAAAGTTATAATTATTTGATCAATATTTTTTCAAGACGAGAAAAAAAAAATTAAACCGTTAATAAATCCTGCAGAAAGTCAATGAAATACTTGCAATAGAGGAACGCATGTTGTGTTTCCTTTGCGAAGGCATTCTTATTTAATCAATTCTTTAAATAATGTAAACATTGCTTTAATTGGTTTATAATTTTTAACATTACAAATTATGAGAAGTTTCGTTAAGTGTAAGCAGTGTGAGACATGTTTTACTACTGTACATAGCCAAAACAAGTCACTCTAAAATCATTCTAAAAAAATACAAGACTGAAAAATTCTTTCTTGATACTTAACTAGTAAGATTGATGTTTTAAACTGATACATTTTGCTTGTTTTAAATTTGATCTATAACCTAACTGATATCACCATGTTTCCCATGCGTAAGAGTTATTTTTAATAAGATAAAAAATATTAATAATAGTTTTTCTTTATGTTGTTTTTTAATAAACAATTTTAAATATTCTTGCCTATTATTATAGTTTTTGTTTTTAACCAGTCATCTATCATAGATCAGTAGGTATTTAAAAATGTTACAAAATCAGGTTAAAATGTCGAATGTGCATTTCCTGTAATGTATGAGAAGGGAAATCCTGTTTTGTCTCGAACTAAAAATCCAATCTCGTCCATCCCTAGAATTTTCGATTTGTTTGGATTCTTTACTGGTACGTTGGTGTTCAATTCTGCAAGTTCCACTGTAAACTATTTAATTGACAAAATTTTTCCGTTTCAGAACATTAATGTCCTGAATGCCGTCCTGTGCCTCATTAAGGAGTTGGAGCTTCAAGATTTGGAGCTGGTTGCTATGAGTGTCAACTGTCGCATCGATGAGCTACGAGTCTAGACTTCCTCCTCCTTTCTCTCGCTCGCTCTAAACCTCTATTATAATAGGAAACTTTGTTTCTCAGAAATATTTACAGGAAAAAAAATTTGAGTTGCGTCCTTGTTTTAGTGCCTGAAATTAAATTTTAGTTGGTGGAATGGAGATGGTCCTTAAGAGATAGAACCCAGGCAACAGAGTGTGTTCATACAAAGGTTTCGGATCTGATTTCTTTCTACTTAGTTGCAGTTTTAACAAATGTACAAATGTTAGTAAAATGCTGATGGTGTTAAATTAGTTTTACTGAAACACTTTCACGCCTCGTTCTAAATTTTACTGTTTCATTAATCCAATTACGAACATTGACAAAACCAAATGGGATAAAACTACAATTTATGATTGGAGTCTAACTTGAACTCATTAAAGACTGACCATGGCTCATTCCAATAGATTTTTTAAGTATTTCAAACTTTGACCTCTTCACTTCTCTATTTAAGATTTCAACTCTACTAAGTGATGATAAATTATTAAACTTTTTTTTAAGAAAATTATATAAAATACTTACATGAATTGTTCAATAGGAAATTTAAAATAGTACTCTTATGTGAAGCAAGTACATTTGATAGATCCCACATTTCCTAGTAGTTTAATTTACTAAAAAGTATAAAATCCATTGTTTTTCTTGTACTACTAAGTTTTTTTTATACACTCCTTCGTTTTGACTCATTCATTCATAAATGTAAACATTTTACACTGAATGATTGTTTGCATACTTGTAGAGTAGTTAGCCATTTTGCCCACTCTGATATGCAAAGTGTACTTTTTTCTTATAAGTTCTGTGAATTATGTGAATGTGATCACAAAATTCAAAATCACAAATTGCTCATGCGTTTTAGCTAGGGACCAATTCTTTTACATTGATACATAGTTGATGAAACTCAACCTATGTGTAACAGCTGTTGTATTTTTTGTAGTGTGGAGCCAACAACGGCAATTTTATTATTTGGCTTGAATAGCTCAACTGAAAAAGCTTTCAGTAAGAGAACAGAAAACAGATCTAAATAAAGGGATCCAAACAGGACAAAAATTCACAGTTATACATGAAATATATTGATGATGCACATCACAATCTTTTCTTGTGTATTTGCCTGGGAGTTTTTGCCCATTTCGACTTGGAAATATTTAATTGTTGTTATTGTTAAACGTTACTAACGATTATTGAATTTCAGAGTATTTTATTGTAGCTTTTTATATGAAACTGACTGTTAATTTTACTTAATAATTTTACTTTAACAATTGTTGTATTAACTATTATTATAGTATATAGTAATGACTTTTTAACCATGTGAAGAAATGGTAAACAAAAACATTATTTTAAACAATATTTGTTTTGTTTACTCTAACTCTTTTAGTCTTGTACAATGTATACAATCATGTTAGTGACTCAAGACATCATTGTACTCCTAGTCAATAAATGGTTCTAAAGTCAAAACGTTGATTTAGTTTCAGTTTTCATGTTGCAGCAAGAAACATTTTTTTAGAACCTTCCAATAAAAAGGTCAAATATATATTTTAATTACTTTTAGTAAGAGCTTACTAACTTATTTTTGGTTTTTAAAACTTTTTTATGTCCTTTTCTTATTAATTTCATAAATTTATGTACATGTTTAGAAAAAAGCTAAATAACAATGAGATTGAAAACATTTTTATTCAGAGGTGGATGTAATTGGGTAAGGATATAATTTGTTGTAAGAATCTCATATATTTGACCAATTTGGTCTTGGGCACATTGTACCCTAACACCTTCACATTGTACATAACACACCAAGTAAATATGAGAATAGATTTTTATAATGTTTAACTGTGTTGTATAATATTAGATGATATAGAGCATACTACAGGACAATATGTAAATAACCAAATGCCTTGTATCAAACTGCAATGTCCAATTTACATTCCTACTGTACATTGTTAATTCTTTGTTATTTTATCTTTTACATCAATTTATTCACACAGTTTGTGTTGAAGGATTCTTGTTCATAGTTCATAAAGTTTATTACGGCTTAGTTTGTATTTAGCCAACCGTTGAACCGTTCCTGGAGACTTTGTATTCGTAGAAGCAGTCCACTGTGATTCTAGCAATGTCTATATTTTCTGGTCACATTGGTCTCCCAAATGCAGCTGATTTATTTTTGTGTATTGTAAAATAAGAAGAGTGATAATAGTATTATAAATGCTAGACTATCTTGCCTGTTATTTAGCTTTACATTTGTTGAAATTATATTTACATGTTTTGAAAAGGTATTAGAAATTAAGTTAGCATAAACTATGTTGTTCTTTTCATTCTCTTAATTTTTTATCGCCAGAATCCTAAATATAAATTGCCCTGGCTTTTAAAGAAAAAGAAAACTATTGTTTGCTTTTTGTAATTGAACAATTTATTTTGGCTTTAAAAAATATATTTTTATTTTATTTGTCTTTATCAAATAGAACTTTGTGATTTATTTAAAGATGTTTATAAACTGTTATCTTTGTTTAGTTTTGAAAAATATGTGTGATGTGAAAGTTTGTGATATGTTAAAACAACATTTAAGAATTTTGCAATAGTACTTTAGTTTCCATTCTCATTTTAGTTATATTTTATTAACAATTCTTTAAAAGCATCAATTATCAATTATCATGATTTTTTCTTGGGTTGACTATTAACTAAAGTTTTCATTTAGTTTTGTTAACATTTTATCACAATCATAGAATTTAATGTTTTAATTTTTGTTTACTTTGTTGTGTACTATATTGTTTTGTTGAGTTATGATTGTTTGCTCGAACCATTTCAAATTAATTTGTTTACTACTGAATCTATGTTGATAGATTATGGTGCATTTAGTTTTCTATTTACTAATGTTTGGGTTTGTATTAGTTTTTTATAAATTAATATTTAAGGTTGTACTTAAGTGATTCAACATTGCTGTGCAATATAAGAAATTATATAGTTTTGTGGTTATAATCAAGGGTCAAATAGAATATTAACTGTATGTAACAGATTTTAAATACATAACAATATTAATGTTGCTAACTGAAAAAAAATGTGTTGTTGCTACTTATTTCTAATTTTAAAATTTTAATAGATTCTTAACATTAAAATTCACTGTCACAGTAATAGTAAGGTATATAGAGTTATTTTGGGATAAAAAGTACTATACCTGGTTGATTTAAATGTTGACGTAATACAGAACATTTTTAAAACTACGAGGTAAATTTTATTTTATTCCTTCCAACCCATCTCATAAATAGTATAAAACGTTCTAGTTTCTTACAGAATTTAAAATCTCATCAAATTAACCTATACAAAGACCCTTGAATAAAGTATAAGTTGAAGAGTTGATTGTAAGTCAAAAAGAATTTATAATGATTGTTGGGATCAAAAGATTGACCTCATTTACAGTCCTGGGGCACGTAACCCTACACTCACGGCTGCAATGGAGGGAAGGATGAATGTGTCAGGCAATCATACAAAACATCATCATTCAACATTCTTCATAACTATGGAGGATTCTAACTGGGTCTTGACTTCGGCTTTCATTATATTCACCATGCAAACAGGTTAACTTTTGATAGGTTTATAGTAATTTTTATTTGAGTCATCATAAGTATGTATCAAGAAAAAAACTTTAAATTTAGGAATTAGTCTTAGTAAATATTAAAAGTATTAAATATAAATTAAAATTTCCCAAACATACTCAGTAACTTTTCATGGTATTTTAAAATACTTAAAATTTTTCAGTTTTTTTTAAGGACTGCAATACATTTTAAATGTTAATCTGCAACATTTTCTTTTGTAGATAATGGTATTTTGTAACCAACCAATTGATTTTATTAAAATCAAGCCAATGATTTTGGTGCCGTTGAGTCTAAGAAAATGCATTAGGAAAAAAAGGTTTTGAGGTAAACATTGTAAAACAATATCTAACTGGAAGGGATAATTATTGTGCATGCACAAACTTGTGCAATGAAAAATAAAGGCCAAATTTGAAGAGAAATTTTTTTCATTTTAATGGTCACTATAATAATCAGTTTAGACTCCCCCATTCCTTTCTTTTAATACTCATGGAAATCCTATATGGGAAATGCCAACACTTCATTTTCTGGTTATACAGTAATGCTAGAGTAAAAGCAAAAGTAATATTTAATTATTTGGTAGGTGGTTTTATTATTTTAATATAGTTTTAAATTGGTTTAGTTACAAAAAACATTCAGGGTGTCCTGAAATTATGGTAAAATATTTTAATACATGATTGTAGGGATAAAAATAAGAAAAAAAGTTGATCCTAAAGTGCTTAGTTGTCCATCTGTTTTTATTTATATTTATATTTTTTATTTTATAATTTATTAAATCTTACGAACCTAGGTATTAAATTCAAACTTGGTATATGCATGTGGAATAACAAGATAAATAACTTCTTGATCAGCATTGTACGTGTTATTAAATTTACGGAAAGTAAATAAAAGAAACGTCTTATAACACTTAAAACCTATATTTACGCTTCCTACTCACAAGACGGTAAATATACATAAAATATGGTAAGTGGTGATCGATTTTGATTGGACACCCCAATCATCATCAGACCCAATAGGCGATTGACAAGAATCTTGAATGGCGTCCCTACTTATATCCTATTGGCTGCCGGAAGTATCGGCCAATACATTTCTGTAAGTACAACTGTAGTCAAAATTTACTTGTACATTAATTAGCTTATTTCTATTTTTATATTCTCCCTTATAAATATATGATTCTCCCCAAGCATTTATTACATTTCCTTTTTTACAACTCTATAAAATACATAGACAATCCTCCATTTTTCCTATTGAATGGCCATTTTGTAAAAAGTGTTGTGCGACATTTGATCTTTCCGGTTTGTTGTTCCTCCACGGAGATGTGTGGTTTTTGAAGTGGTTAACGAAGTTCACAGTCTGTCCAATGTAGAAGCTGTCTAGTTGTACTTATAGATATTTTTGTTTTTAAGGCTAAATATCTTAAAAAACATAAATTAAAAAAAAAAATTACAACAGACAAAAAGGTTGTGAAATTTAATCCCATTAACTCTGATAATAAAGATTTTGTTGATTGGACAACTAACAGTAGAGAAATTGTGTTTCATATTTTACCAAAATTTCCGGACACTCTGTATAGAAAACATCAAAATGCACCAACATAATACAAACAGATAAAAACAAACAGAAAATGTAAATTAAAATTATTCTCAGTTGATCTACAAGGGTTACATATCTTTAATATGTTAAATCTGTGCTATAAGTAAAGGTGTGTTTCTCAATCCAGAGCCTAAAAGGTACTTTAAGCAATTCTATAAAGAAATTTAATCCTTAAACCCAAAAAACCTAGTTTTTTTTTGTTGCTTGTGCAGATGACACAATTGCACTCAAAAAGTAGACATCCAACTTAATATTTCACATTCTGCTTCAAACGTTCTATTCAACTTCGGAGAAACAAAATATATCAAGAGATATTTTTGACTCAACACTAGTATATTACAGTCTATTAAAGCATCGCACATAAATTTACCAGGTTTTGGGCTTCTGGAGTCAGGATGTGTATCTTCAAAAAACGAAGTAAACATCATGATGAAGAATGTGGTTGACATTTTCTTGGGAGGAGCTACTTATTGGTTGTTTGGATTTGGACTGCAGTTTGGACATGGACCCCACTCCAACGCTTTGCTCGGGATCGGAAACTTTGCAACTGATGCAGACATAGAGGAAGAGGCCATGGGAGCAATATTTACGTCATTCATTTTCCAGCTGTCTTTTGCTACCACTGCCACCACAATAGTATCTGGTGCAATGGCAGAAAGGTTAGTGAATATGTTTAATGTAAAGTTAAAGTTTTAGTAATTGGTTTTCCAAGACACCTTGAGTGATCACTGGAGAGTAACAAATCATACACATCCTGGGGACTGGATATCAGTATAGAGACAGTATGATTTGGTTTATATTTATCTTTGGTATAGGGTTTATTTAAATTGTCTGTAAGTTGCAGATACATAATCAAACCGTAAAAAAATTTGAAACTGCATTTGTTACTTTGTGCAACTCCTGAGTTGTTAAGCATTATTCAAGTTTATTGTAACAAGCTAAAGCTGTGTGCATCATCCCAACCTAGTGTACAAACTACGCTTATTTGTCCAAACTTTTTTTGTCCTAGGACGCTGCTAGGTATTAGCCCACAATTGTTTTTTACATTACTTCAGGCTAGACCTAGTGGTTGCGGCATTATAACTTAGATAAAATCCATTATTGGTGATTTGGCGGGATTTGAACCTGCTATCGAAGTTCTCCTCTCTACCACTAGACCAGCCCGCTCCCCTGTTCTTCCAAGTGTTATAGAGTTTATATGAATAAAGTTCTCTTTAACCTCGGTGAGATTAGATATTTTTGGTGAGGGATTCTAAACCTTGGAAAATCGTATCCTGGCCAAAGCTCTCTATTGAAGCGTTCTCGTATATTTTTCTGCCAAAGAAAGCAGTGTTGTGCAAGACACATCGGAGGAAGGTCAACCAAGAGGTATGTATTGAAAATTAATCAAATCACTGTATCCGTGTGGTGTCATGGAAGAATATGAATCCGATATACCAATAACTATATGTTTATTACTGGATTTTTGTGAGGATAGTAGACTTACCTGAATGGAAAAGAGTCCAAACTGACACAAGAGACACAAAACTTTACACTATATACACAAAACATTGGAACATTAGAATATTTCACTACTGACCACATTTTCAACTACGCAAGAGAGAGTTTTATAAAGATCCAACCATCTCTTCTTTAATTAAAAATTCTGTAAGTTACAGTGAAATATTCCAATGTTCTGTGTATATAGTGTAAAGTTTTGTGTCTCTTGTGCCAGTTTGGACTCATTCCCTTTCAGGTAAGCCTGCTACCCTCACAAAGAAATCCTATAAACCTAGCCCCTTGTGCTGTATGTCTCATCCTTATGTATAATACTGGTATTTTGAGATATACATGAATTTATTTTTAATGCAGATGCAGCTTCAAGGCCTACTGTGTGTTTTCCTTTCTGAACACTGTGGTATATTGCGTGCCTGCAGGATGGGTCTGGAGAGATAATGGATTCCTCAACGTCCTTGGAGCAATAGACATCGCTGGCTCAGGATGTGTACATCTCATAGGGGGAACCTCAGGTATCTCTGAAGTACATTTTATGCATGGAGGGATTGCTTTATTAAACAAGGAACATCAAAATTATAACTAAAAGGGTGTTAGAAAAAACTTGAAATTCTTAAGAAGTTGATTGCTTAAAGACAAAACAGAAATCAATCATTGATCCTGTCAACATGGATCAAAACTGCTACTCAACACTTAAGAAAACAAGGCATGTTTTGGGCTCAGTTTTTTTGATCCTCCATCTAATTTTCAATGTAGCTCATTTACTTGGAAATTATTAGATTAAAAACATTTTTTTGTTCATTTTAAATTTTTAATTGAATTTTGATAATTGATCAATCCTCAACAATCCTCCAAACATTCCCAAGCCATGTTATGCATTGCTGTATTTAATCAAATATTTTCGTAGAAAAACATGTTTACCACATTTGATCGAGGTGATTTTGTCAATATAGGAGCTCAAGTATTATTGTTGCAGCGTTTGCATCGGCAATGATGCTGGGTCCCCGGCTCGGAAGGTATACCAACGGTATCAAACCTTTACCTCTTGGAACTCCAGTGAACTGTGCCATGGGTCTCTTTGTGCTCTGGTGGGGCTGGTTGGCATTCAATTCTGGCAGGTGGTTCTCTGATCTGGTCTGTTTGGTATTCGGTTTGTTCACTATACAGTAGTGTGGATTTCAAGTATGACAATCGTCCATCAATATGTTGTAAATCTGGGCACAGCACCTAGGCTTAGATGTCCTATGAATTTATAATGGTAGATAATCTAGTTTGTTAGATAAGATCAGAGATAACGTTGTTGAAGCTAGGAACTGGTTGACGTTGGAGTTAGACACCTGTTGTGTACAAAGATGCAGCAGACTTCCAATCAATTAACTGATTAATCAAAGAATTATACAGTATATTCATATCACACATTAATACATGAATTTTGTCAACAGTTATAACTAAACAATATATACTATTTGAAATTTCTGTAGCAATAATTAAAATCTAGTTAGATGTATATAATATCCTCTCCAATAAACTATTGTCAGCATCTACATTGCTTATCTCCACTACCATCTTTATGGATCACTGGAAAGTGTTTGTATAATGGAGCCCAGTGTCCAGTATTATATGTTTGAGCCTGAGAATTCCTTGGCTGATATTTGAAATGATTCAAATACCTGGTCGAGACATTATCTAATCTTATTTCAGCACTTATGGGGTGAGTGGTGCTAAGTGGATGTATGCTGCAAAGGCTGCAGTGATGACGATGCTTTCCTCCTTCGGGGGTGGGACTGTTGGACTCTTCTACTCTGCTTACACCAACAAAGGATACCTTGAAATCATGGATATGATAAACAGTGTTCTGGCAGCACTAGTATCTGTTACAGGTAGTTTATTGCACAAAACAGTTTTATACAGAATGTCAACCCCTTGAATTCCAGGGATTATTCTCTTATTTGTAACTCGAAAGCACAATAATCCAAATGATTTAAAATAAATTTACAGTAAACACACACATTAGGTATAAAGTAACAAAATTTCTTTTTTGAGGTTCAGGTCAGTAAGTATAAACCTGTGAACTTCCAACCAAGATGTCCACTGACGTAGGCCTCTTCCACCTCTATCACGGACAGCAGGTGAAGTCCTCAGCAGACCTGACGATAGGATTCAAAACTGATCTAAGGTGGTCTCCTGCCCGGAGGGAAGCCTTGGACTGCTCAACCAATATCACCTTAAGGGATACTGCACCAAAAACACTGGTAAACTCAAAGCACAAGAGTAGCTCTAAAGCTGACTCCCAGGATTCAGTACATGTCAGGTATAGTTGTCAGCTGTTTTGTTGTACTAGATATTACTTAAAGAGCCTTTTTGTATAATTAACTTCTGTTGCAGGAGGATGTTTCTTGTATACCGCCTGGGAAGCCATCCTTATTGGCTGCATTGGAGGAATCTTGTCCTGTGCCACAATGCCCTTGTTTGATAAAATAGGTATTGATGATCCGGTTGGGGCATCATCTGTTCACGGTTAGTAAGATTTGGGCAAAAAAAACAATTATTTTGACAGAAAATCATTTAAACACACTTGTTACCGTTCAAGTTTGACTGATATATAAATAAAAGGCCTTATGTAGGACTCTTTATGAATGGAATTCCAATCAAACTCAAGTCAAGTCAGTATAGGTCTGTGGAGTCCTGGGAGGTACTTAACTAACACACTAAATATGTCTGAAAGTTTGTTTTCCTTTGACTGGATTTACAAAATTATGTACAGAATGCCAATGAAATTTGACTTTTTTTAAATCACATGTTATTAATAGCAAGCATTTTATCACTTATGTTTTCTTGAACACTACTTGTTTCATAACTCATATACAATTCAGATTTTTATTTACAGGCATCTGTGGTGTCTGGGGTATTCTTGCAGTCGGCCTGTTTGCCAAAGATCCATATCCTCTTCTAACAACTCGAGGAAGGAATGGTTTACTAAGAGGTAAGCTTGATTTGTCAATCCCTTAACCAACCTGATCACCTGATGGCCTTAACCTTGCTGTAATCAATGATTGACAAGAACATTTTTTGTTAATTTAGTCTGCAGTTGAGTATGCACTTATTTACAAAATAACAAAATACAAGTGATTCTCAGTTCAACACTGCTTTTCAGAATATATCTTATCAAATGTTACAAAAAAAGATACTTAAAAATAACTTACTCACTTACTGCCATGACTCTTGGCACCCAAGGTGGTGCTTTGCCTTGCCAGCACATTGCCTCCAGGTTTCTTGATCTAGCACCTCTTCTTCCCTTCTTTCCAAATTTCTCAGGTCTCTTCTGATCTGGTTTCAATTTTGGCCATCCAGTTGGTCTTCTACTCTCAGTGCTGTTAATCTTTTTGACTAAAGAGTTGTCATCTATCCTTAATATATGGCCAGCTTAATATATCTCAGTTCTTACTTCTTTCTTCTGCTACTATATCTAGCAGTCTCATTTTAGTTTGTCTCAATTTAGCTGTCTCAACACTCTTTTATGTTTCATTCCCCATTCTCCATCTTCCAAGGTCGGTCCATTAATCTTCCTCAACACTTTATTCTCAAATCTTTACGCAGTAACCAATTTTCTGTGCTATTATAAAAGATGACTTAGAAATAACCAACAATAATAATCTTAAAATTCTAGCTTCACATAAAAAAAAAACAAGTAAAGCTCTCTGAACCTGTGTAGGAGTTATTGTACGACCCTTTTTCCAACCTCACAATGAACTCTCGGGGAATGAAGGTGTTGGTATTAGCGAGTACTGCCTAAAGAGACATTCTGCTGAAGGAGAGTTTGTGTCGTATGTCAATCCAGAAACGAGAGATTTGAGGCAGAACTCTAAATATATGGCACCCTGGGAGTAAATTCAGAACTTCTTTGAACAGTAACATATAAAATTAAAATTGTTGGACACAAGCTCAAGAAGGAAGGATAAAAAGTTAAGAAATATAAATTTGAATATAATTTTCCATTTAGCAAAGAATCCATCCTGTAAATTTTCACCCATACTGATCGTAATTCAGTTTGTGCCTCACACAGAAGCGAAAGATTAATTCTCAAGTTTCACAACTACAAGTTTATGCAAGATTCAAACCCTTGACCTATTCTCCTGGCTGGAAATACAACCTAATACCAAACATACCTAAATGTCCACACTAAAGATTTTTGTCTGAAGCAAATGTTTACCAGATTACTCATAGCAAAGATCCTATGAACAAGCTATGTTTTTTGTATTTATTTAAACTATATAGAAAAACAATCATTACCAAAAGTATTATTCCATTAATGGGCTGTTCTGGAAAGATTCTCGCAACCAATGATTTTACTGAAATTTCAACTTTAAAAGAAATAAAAGACCAAAGCGTGAAGTAGCTGCAATTATCAACTTTAGCTAGTGCTGAAATCTTGATTAAGAACTGAAACAAAATAATTGTTTTAAAAATAGATATGTCTTTGAACTTTGAAGAACGTGCATAAAAGTTATGAAATAAATTTGTTGAGTTGTGTATATGAAGTTGCCCATACTGTTGCAGGGGGAGGAATGTATTTGTTGGGGGTGCAGCTGCTGACTTGTATTAGTCTAATAACTTGGAGTTTCAGCTCAACAGTTCTTCTTCTGTGGGTAAGCAAAGACAACTTTTTAATTCAAAAGTGTGATGGTAAATATTACTGCCTGTTTGACAGGCAGTAAAGCCTGTTAGTTGTAGACCCAATGTTAGGTTGCTATGCTGTACTGGTATATTGAATCACAAATTTAAAATTTACACAAATTTTGAAATAATATAATCACAGAACCTGTTTTTGACTTGGCAGAGCCATAAATTTTCTTCAAACCCTTATTATGATACTCATGAAACTTATTGCATAGTGGTGGAGCCAGGCTAAAATAAAAATAGTAGTGGAATAAGTAAAGAACACGGCACTGGGGTCAGATTTGATCTATCTTGAAAGGGGATCGTTAATTTACAGTTGCCCTTGTGTACAAGGAAATCGTTCTTTCTTTGTAAACTACAAGGATACCATTACATAGTCTTTTCCTTCTAGGTGATAAATAAGATGACTCCGATTCGTCTGGAGCCCCATGCGGAACTGTTAGGCGCAGACTTGACAGTTCACAGGATCAAACATCAGGAACCGGGAGTCAACTACGCACTCCGGGTTCTTCTCTCCCTTCATCCAAACATTGTGGACACAAACGACCTCTGCATCATAGGAAGCAACCCTGGTAAAACTTCAGACACTCTTCAAACCTTTTTGCGAACCCTAAATTAGTTTAATTCAAGTTCTAAAAACCGTGGATGTATAAATATTGTAAAAGAATAGTTGTAAAAATTGGTGTATGTAAATAGTTGAAATATTCCCATGAGAAATGTTCTTTGTGTATAGGAGAGAGTCAGCAATCTCACCACCATGGAGGAAAGAAAAATTGAAGTATGAAATAAATGCAGCAAAAATTAATTGCACAAATCTTATGTAATCAGGGTGCTGATTTTTGTGCCCTTACTAACTAAAGCTTCCTGTAGAATTTTCACCTGTACACTGTTTTCATATACCTCTGGCATGAGTGGTGGAAGAGTCCAAAGAAAAGTGACAAATAAATAATATATGGCTTAATTCAACTCAATAGTCAATTGTTGATATAATATACTATAATATAAATAAAAAGTTTATTTGGCAGGGACATATTTTTTTTATAAGGATATTATAATCTCCCTAGTAACCTTAATCTACATCAGATAATCCATATGAAATAGTATTTACGAGGTCTGTTAAAAAAGTATCCGAACTTGTTCAGGAAAAGCATTATTTATTGATTAATTTGTTTTAACATATAATCTCCTTCAAAATATTCCCGTTGGAGAATGGAGCTTCACACAGTTAGGGTACGTCCACAATGCACGCTAGTTTTCTAAGTCAGACTGTCAGCGCCGATTAAGTCAGACTCGGCGCGCTTATTGTCCCATGCTAGTAAACGTGCACCTGCGCGCCGATTTTCTGCGCGCAGGTAGTCTGACTCTGATTTTTACCGGAATGAATTGTTCATTCTAGTTTCAACTGCCTATATCGGACTGTTGATTTTTGTTTTTGTATTGAATGTATTAGTGTTTCATTACATTAACCATGGATATCAACCAATTGCAATCAAAAGTTCAACACGTTCCAGCAAATAGCAATAAGCGCCCTTAAATTTACCTTAAATTTATCTGCTGATTTAATTAAATTGTTTGTACTATTGCATTTTTACAAAATAAACAATTTAACTTACGGGAATAAATTAATTCACCTCAGCGGGACATGCTAATTCAAGGTTTTGTGATATTTTCCCCAGTTTTTGACGAGCTTGTGCTCGATTTTTAAGAGGAATAAAAGGTGTTTAAGCACATTCTGAAATATAAAAAAAACCTGTTGTCTGCAAAAAGTTGCGGGAAAATATGTATACAGTATATCCCTTAAATAGGTCTCAACACAGACAGGTACAGCTTACAACCTGCTTGCATTATGGCCACCTCATCGGCGCCAAAAATCTGAATCTGACTTCCTGCTTATACCAGCGTGCATTGTGGATGTACCCTTATTCCAGCACTCCTGACACATTTGGAAACAAGCCTGGAACTCTTCCTTCTTAATGGACTTCAGACAAGCTATTGCATTTCGTCGCTTTTTAATTTTTTAATGTTTCTGCTGAGAAGAATGTGCCTTGGTTTCGGGATCATACCCGTACACCAACAATACAGTTATAATTGTTTTGAGAAATTTTGGTTCATTCTGAATCTGAATGCATTCCAGCATGTCTTTAGCAATTTCAAGCTGCAATTCCTTTTGTTCATCCGTCAAGTTCTTAGTGAAAAATTTTGCAGCAAGTTTCCATCTAAATTGAATGAACTGAAAAAATACTGATTCCAACTTCCATACCTAGTTCACAAACGGTAATAGGTTGATCCTCCATCACTAAAACTCAAACTTGATCGATAACTTCATTGTTTCGACTTGTTGACGGTCTGCCAGAACGAGTTTTACTGTCCACTGAAGTGCCGCCATCTTTGAATCTATTGTAACACTCTTTTATCTGTGTTACACCTAGGAGGATTGAACATTAAGGAGAGGACACGCTCGAGTTTCGTTGAAGCCAGCTAGCCGACCGTGCACCGTATCGCGGCGGGAGGGGGGCATTGTGTTCAGAAACATACATAATAACATTTAACCAAACCAGCAACGAAATACACCAACCAATTAGGACCTTTATAATGTCATATTAGATATTTAGTTACTGAAATAGCAGTCATGTATTTAACAGATTTATTTAACTACATCATGCGAACAAAATTAAGAACTTAAATTAAAATCACAATATTAGAAACCTAACTAAGAGGACGAATGTATTCACGTACGAATAGTAAATTTAAAGATGACCTATTAATAAGTTTTTAATCAAACATAACGGTTGAAGGAATGTGTTTATTTTTTGCCCTGCTAATATTGTGTTAGTATTGATTATACCATTATAATCCAATACTTAAATCATTAGGTAATATAAGTATTTGAACATATTTTTGCATAAAACGAAATCAAAAAGATGAGCCGTTGGCATGTATAAATAAATAAATAAAAAAGGTTTTAAAACTATAAAATAATTATACGTACGCACTGTGGCGTCAGAGGATGCGAGAACTGAAAGGTTTCACTTTTTACTCAAAGTTTATTTGATATTTCTCAACATAAGTCCTCAAAATATGGCTTAATAAGATATTAAAAAATTTAAAATTTAATGGGCAAGAAAATGTTTTACTTTTTATATTCGTAATGTAATTTGAACAGCTGTGAGTGTAATAAAAGCGAACGCCACTTGGATTTTTTTCTTGAATTCGGCTATTTCAAATTATTTGCCTAGCACAAAAAACCCTTAAAACTAGCATAAAATAGGATTGGAAATTTAAGAAAACAATTAGGAATGCTAATTTTATATTTATTTCAAAAAATTCAAATTGCATTTCTTATTGAAAATCTAATTTAATAAACTTGTTGAAAAACTGTAAAAATGAAAAAAAGTTAATACGGTTCTTGTTTTGAATCCTCCGATTAAATATTGGTAAATGTATTATTTTTATTTCGAGAAACTCTTAGGGAACACGAATAAATTGATTATTTGTATAGATACATCATATTTATTTCAAAATCGTTGTTAAAGTAATCATATGTTCAAAGTCAAAGACAATTCATTCTACTTTGTTCTTCAATAATAAATAATAGTTTTCATAGAAATGATTTACACCATTCGATAGGAAATTTAATTTACTTTAAGAATGCCATCGCTGAATAACACAAGTGTTTTAGTTTAGCGGCAATTTTAATTCGAAACAGCGCGCTTCGCGTTATTTCCCTATCTCTCCCATGTTATAGCTGGGGCTTTTTTCCACTCTACGGCTCCGCGTGCCCCTCTCGTGTTCTGCTTCACCGCAACACGTATATTCCTATTCGCGTGCCCTCTCCTTAATGTTTCATCCTCCTAGTGTTACACCCATAGCGTCTTCTCCAAAGGCTTGCTGAATCGTTTGAGTTTGTTTATCACCCAGTTTTTGGCAAAATTTAATGTTTAATTGTTCCACCCATTCCGTCATTTTGCTTAGCACAAAAACACGACAAACCCAGTATCTATATGTACCCAGTTTCACGTTTAGCGGCCGACAACGAACTGACACCATGTCAGGGGCATTTGACGTGCTGTACAGGTGCCTCAATCTAGGCGCCAGGGTACAGCTCAATGTGGTTGTTGGATTATTAGATAAAACGTTGAATAGACCTTGTACATTCCATCTATAATCAAGAACACATACTTAAGAAAGGCAAAATGTATCAAAGAGAAAGAAGTTTGATTGTATCAACATTCTTTGAACATATTTACTTATTGTGCCATGTGTTTTATTTGTTATAGGACATGAAGCTTTTCTTAGGGACTACTTACAGCAACACAACAAAGAAACCTTTCCTAAAAACAAAATTAGCTTGGTAGAAGAGAAACTTTCTTATGTACCTCAGTACGCTTGGATTGACTAAATTACATCTGCTAATAGCTGATAATACATCTGTAAGATTGTTTACTAATGTGTTTATTTTTCATTAGACCTTACTGATTATGACTACTTAATACTTAGTGATCTTACAGAGCCAAAGCAGTGAATGAGATACGGTTCTTAGATACTTTTCATCAAATTTGTCAAAGATGCAAATTAGGCATATTCATGAGTGAAATATGAGAGTTCAATGTAAAGACGTTTTAAACTTTTACTGCAGCGGACGGTTGCGTTGGAGGATGTTGGTCTTGCAGTAACACGTTTTTCAACTTGATAATATTTGAAACCGTACCAATGAGTCTAGGTACAAAACAATGTTTGGCAAGAGAAACTGATTGGCAGTTAAGAGAGGGAGCTGCTAATTCTTACTAAGCTCGGACGAAATTAGCAGCAAACTTTTATGGTGAGCCAGTAGGGCCGCAGTCTTCGGGTCCAATGCAGCGATGTCGTGGGTTCGGATCCTGGTCCCTGCGACTACTTTTATCATACCAGATCAACCTTGTACTGTACCGGCTCACCCCAGTTTTTGCTTGATATGTTCCACACACAGGCCTTTATGGCCCATGTGGACGGACAAATGCAAGCTAAAAGAGGCCGCCTACCTCTTAAAAAATAAAATAAAATAACAGCCTACCTGTTTTGTAATGATGAGTGTTGGTTGGTGTATAGAGAGCAACACAATTCCAATAATCTGAGTGCTAATTTGTCATTGAACTTTGACTCAAATGGGACCCAAATTTGTTATCTGAATGTTGACTGAAGAAATGAAGACAAAATATTGAATTCATTGCTGAATAGTAGCGAAAACCATCAAGTCGCCCTGAATAGGTTGACAGCAATAAAGTATCATGTGTTCATGAACATAATGGACAAAAGTAAGTGCATTTGGGGTCAAAAACCCAGTTGAAATATTTGATAGTCTTTTTGATGATGTTTATGTCAAATGGACATTTAAACGAGCCACAACTATTTTTGAATCACCTCTAAGGCATAGTCATACCATTGTTGTTGACAACCATCTATGTTGAGGAACTAAAGCGATTTATGGAGTCAAGCCTGCTTAAAGGAAATATAACATTAATGATTGTTCGTTTTGAATACCTTCTAAGCTGTTTTTACAAAAAAATACTTCAGTATTTATATTATTTATGATTGGCTCTCATGATATTTGCTGTGAGAATGATATCTGGTAAACACAATACAAGTTTATAGGTGTTATGAAGTGTCTCTTCCGTTGTGTAGAGAAACAACACTCACACCCTCATCCTCTACAACAAAAAACTTTCTAAAAGCATTGTGTAATGTCTGTAAAGACCTGCGTGGCTCATATACGAGCCTGTCGGTAATGAAAGTTTTTTAAATGTAACTGGCACCAATGGTTTAGCCTTAAAAAATCTGCACAAAAAGTGTAATTATGTAACTAAGTTAAATATATTACAATTTATAGATTAGGGATATTATTTATGACTGTATAGTGAACTATAGTTTTTTCTTTAGTTTTTATTATATTTTTATTACTGAAGCAACAGTTTATATTCCTCCAAAAATAAGGAAAATTTCAATGAGACAAAGATCTAATCTGCATCGCTACAACAAACTGACTCTCTGACTTAAATCCTCAATCTAATTTTGTAACAATGAATGTTAATGATATTGGTGTATTCAACTAGAACAGGTGGAATACAATGAAAAAAGGTTAAAAATGTGAAAAATTTATTTGTAAAATACTGTAAAAATTAATAGTAAATAATCAAATAGTTTACCCATTAATCCTTTGTAAGGCATATTTTTCAACACATATTTGTTGGCACATTTTTGCAAACCATGAAAATTTGTCTAGCTTAAATAATGGGGCCCACTTTATGGGAGGGAAGGTGTCTTTAACTAGAATAGGTGGAATAAAATGAAAATAGGTTAAAAACATGAAAAATATATTTGTAAAATACTGCAAAAATTAATAATAAATAGTCAAATAGTTTACCTAAGGCATACATTACATGGCATATTTGTTGACATATTTTTACACATTTGTTTAGCTTAAATAATGGGGCCCACTTTATGGGAGGGAAGAGCATTGGTGTCTTTAACTAGAATAGGTGGAATAAAATGAAAATAGGTTAAAAACATGAAAAATATATTTGTAAAATACTGCAAAAATTAGTAGTAAATAGTCAAATAGTTAACCTATTTACCATTTTAAGGCATACATTACATGGCATATTTGTTGACATATTTTTACACATTTGTTTAGCTTAAATAATGGGGCCCACTTTATGGGAGGGAAGGGCAATGTGTCATCCCATTTTCCTTAAAAAATATTGCAGAACAAAGACAAAATTGTCAAAATGACGTTTGAAAATGAGGGTATATAAAACACTTATTTTAAAAAAGGACTACAAACAAATTAATTCAAACTAATGAAAAAAAGAATCTAACAAGATTTGGTCATTTGCAAAAACATTTCTAACCTAAAACATAAAAAAATATGTAAAAAAAAACAGAAACATGTTTCACAGTGCATGAGTTAGAAGGTTTTTAAGAACATATTTTTAATTATCATGAAATGACTAATGAAACGGTCAGGATTAACACCCTCTGGTGGAACAATATTCATAGGTCGAAACAAATGTGGAGAAATAGTTCTGACAGATGTCAGATACAAATAGTGTACTGTACCTAACTTTTTACCACCATAGTAACTTAGGGTTGATGAATGTAAAATAAAGCTAACCCAGTTACAGGTTATAAAACACACATAAATACAAAATCAAAATGTGCCTAATAAATAATAAAATAAAAATAAACACAACAAAAACTTAATATCACATAACAATCACTTATCTTTAAGTATTATAAGTTCAAAACAATTGGTTATTTGTGTCTATTCACTTCATAACAAAATAGTCTTTATAGTAAAAAACGAGATCTTTGTAGAGCCTACAAGGAAAGACCTTTGGCAATTAGTGCAGGTACTTTGTTATAAACACCACAGTTTAACAGCTTATGAGGTTACAAAACCAAATTTCAAATCCGCTAAAACTTCAGAAAATACTTGTAAATACGTAGTCTTAATGCTTTGAGCAATCATAGTAGTGAATTTAAAACGTATCAAATTCCAATAATCCAATTGATCAACTGAAATAGATTATTGTAATGCAGTTCATTTTTTAACAATAAATTACAACTTACAAGTTACAATTACAATTTACAAGATTATTTCCTTGGTATAAAAGAAGAAAAAAAAGCTTCTTGGATCAACAAAACAATCAATTTACTAAAATTTGAGAAATCGTTTCATTGATGTTAGGAATAACTGCCATTGGTAGATTATTATGTTGAATTTAACATAACTTTTAGTTTTTGGACTAAAAATTTGCTGTTCCTAGACAGTAAAATATTACTTGTGGTCTAAATGTTGTCACATGTTTTGCAATTTTGGTTTGGAGACGGATTCAAAATTGTGATTTTGACCATCACTGATTTTTATCTCTAGTCAGTCATGATTACTCCCAATCCAAATGTGGGCCTGGTCTGTTTCCTTCCCCTTCTGTCAGCATCTCCTCGGTCTCAGGTGACAGCTTTTTAGAATAATGGAGAATGTTTCTGTCACTCCCTGCACTGTACAGTTCCATTCTGTGTTCGTTGAAATAACAGGCGTTGACACGATCATAATGGCCAAATAGACTATTTATTTTGCGGCCGTTGTCTATTCTGTAAACTGAAATCTTACATTTCTCGGGAACAAAACAAAAACTGTGATTGCTTGAACCGCAAGTGGCAAAATCTATAGATCTACCTTTCCTGACATTGGCCGGCTCAAAAGTAACTGGGGTTCTTTTAAATGTACCCATATCCCATGAGTAGACTTGGTCGTCAGATCCCAAGGAAATTAACAGCCTTCCGTTAGGAGTGAACTGAAGGCCATTAACAAGGCCCTTGTGTGATACGACAGAATCCGGTTTTTTGCACTTATCTTCGTTAAGATTTTTGTTTAGGATCGCCAGGCACGAGCAGGTTGACCGAACGTCCCAGATTCGAATGGTGGAGTCATAGCCGCCTGTCGCCAGCAAGTAGGGGTTTGCTGGCGACCACTTGCAGCTCAAGACACAGCTTGTGTGCCCTCTCAGTTCATGGCTGTGATTACCCGACACCAAATCCACTATCTTGACTTCTGAAGCCGTGGTCGCAACTGAAAAAAACCACTTAAGTAAAAGCTCGGCTTAGATCATCATATATTTACAAGTTGTGATAATTTATTTAAATAATTTTCAATCATTCTGGGTCAAGCTATCATCTTCACAATGTAAGAAGATCGGACTAAATTGAATGATAAACAATAGAATACTATGAATAGTATGGAAAGGTTAATCTGTCGGTAAGGTTTTTGTTCTGGTAACATCATAATATAGTCCAATAATTAAGAGCCATAATAACTTCAAAGGTGGCGGAGTACTTGTGAGTGTTAATTCTTGAGTTTTTAGGAGTACTTACTTTTTAAAAAAGTACTTACTTTTATCACTTTGTTTACATTGCCACTAGGGATGGTCAAGTCTCGAAATTTCGGGAAATTTTAAATCTCGTTACACGAGACGAGATTTCTTTTTGGCCGAGATTTTTATCGAGACGAGAATAAAAAAAAAATTAAAAACGCCTGCAGAAAGTCAATGCAATACCCGCAATACAGGAGCGTGTTGTAGTTGCGTTTCCTTTGCGAAGGCGTTCTTATTTAATTAATTCTTTGAATGTAAATATTACTAAATTATTTTAATAATATTACTTTAATAACATTTAAGAAGTTTTGTTAAGTGTAAGCAGTGTGAGGAATGTTTTATTACTATAAAAAGTCAAAACAAGTAACTATTTTATAAAAATTAATATTGCTTTTATTTTATGATTTATTTTATTTTAGGATAAGTTGAACTCTATCCTAACTGATATCACTATGTTTCCTAATCGTAGGCATTTTTAATAAGTTAGGCATGATTAATAAAAAAATGTTATGCTGATGTTTTTTAATAAAAGATTGTAAATATTCTTGCCTATTATCATTATTTTTGTATTTAAATAGTCACCTAAGAATGTTACAAAATCAGGTAAAAATTTTGAACGTGCATTTCCCGTTGTGTATGAGAAGGGAAATCCCGTCTCAAAATTTTATGAGAAATAAAAAATCTTGTCTCGTCTCGTCTCGAACTAAAAATCCAATCTCGTCTATCCCTAATTGCCACTTTATTGGTTTGTTTAAGACTTAATGTGTTTATTATTTGGGCAATAATAAAATGCCAAACCCATTCATTTATGATAGATATTACAGGGTGTATACCATATTTTGAAAGTGAAATTACAGGTTTTTTCCTAGTTTTCAAAGTTTTTCCAGTGTCCCGCTTGAATTTTTCCCACATGAACATTATATTAATTCCCGTTTGGATGTTTAGTTCCACTTAAACCATAACCAATTTAAGACTTGCAGGTTAAGTATTATCATACATCACATTTGTATATATGACGACCACATCAAAATATGACTTAGGTTGGATTGGTCCTGTAATGTATTAGGTTAATTGTTCCAAAGTTCAGTGAGCTAGTGTTGAAAAAACAATAACCCTTATTATGTTAATTGTTTTCATTAGTAATCATTCAGTCTCAGGCAGTGCTAGAGAAAGGTTGTGTTTTCCTTGTTATTAGCTACTGTACTACTAGTTTTGAGGTTATATCAAGATGGATTGTGGTCAGTGCACTGATAGTATTTTGGACGTGAAGGATTTAATTACTTGTTCAGTACTTAACTGTAAATCTAATTATCACTATTCATGTGCGGGAATAAGTCAATAAATATTTAGAAAAATGACACTTATTCATAAACGGGAATGGAAATGTCTAAAATACAAGTCAGGGAAAAAATGTGATTTAAAAATAGATGTTTCTGAAGATAATGAAGAAAATATTACAGAGGTATAAAACTTATGAAAGATGTGTCCAAGCAGCTACAAATTCTTCCAACACTAAAGGAGGATTTAGATAAAATTAAAGAAGACATCAAGGAAGTTTTTTATTAAAAGTCAACACTTCATAAGTGAACAGTGTGAGGATATTATCCACAAGCTGGAACTTATACCAAAACTGGAAGAAAAGGTGGAGCATCTACAGTTGGTAATTCAGTGGAAGGATGAAGAGATTCACGATTTGAGTATGCGTCTAAGCCAATTAGAGCAATACGGCAGAAACAAAAATCTAGAAATCAATGAAGTAACTGAAAACAAGAAGGAAAATGTGGAAGAAATAGTTGTGCAACTTTAGTCTACATGACTTTTAGATTACCTCACAATCACCTATTAGACTGTTAACGTCTGATATTAAACAAATTACCTGCAACCAACGGAGAACTCGTATTTGCAGGAGACATGTGAATTTGGTAGATGGAGTTCAGATATCTCCACATGTGATGAGTCTTCATGACATTGGTATCCCAGAGACGGACACACCTGTCTTCTCCACCAGTGATAAACATCCCTGTAACATTGTATACGGTCTTAGCTGAAGTAACGTTTAAAATTTACAGCGCTTATCATACACAAAGGCTAAGCTTTGTGGTCTTACTTTAATCCTTTTTTTTTGTCATAGGACGCTAAGCACGAGCCTGGGATTAATGTTCACATTACTTCAGGCTAGACCTAGGGGTTGCGGCATTATCACTTGGACAAAATCCATTGGTGATTTGGCGGGATTTGAACTTGGGACCTCAAGAACTGAAGTTCCGCGCTCTAACCACTAGACTTGCTCCCTCCCCTTTAATCCTTCTATTAAGACTAATAAACTTGTGAAGAGCCAATACAATAGTGTAAAAATTTTTCTAAAGGATTCAATTCATAAATCCAGCAAGAACTGTTTTAAACCGTGTTTAAAACTAAATAGTCAGGTTGGGTAGCAGGAAAATATTTCAGTTCTTGCGGAGAGGCTGCAATTTTAGGTGGTTATAGTATACAAGTTTCCGAACCTAAAACCGCCCAGACCCCAATTTTTAAGGACCTCGGTCGTCCGTAATGACGTCATCAAAATGGCGGCCGTAAGAGGATGCTGGGTCCCCATGAATTGGCTATAACGACCGAATGCCTGAACCGATTTTCATGAAATTTGGCACACAAGTACTTTAAAACATTATCTCGGCCCAGGTTGTCAATGGTCGAGTTTGATAAAGTCGTTTCAAAATGGCGGCCGTTAAAAGCTAAAATAAAAAATAATCTTTCAGTGTTTTGTGTTCTTAACTCCCTCCAGAGATCTGCAGCAACCTATTCACTTTCCTTGCAATCAAAGGTTGCATTACCGTCCCTGCATTTCATGGAATAGGCAAAATACCTCCACCACAGCAAACCTGCATATTCAGTGAGTTTCCATTACCCTGATTTGATTTTCAATTAAATCAATTTCAATAACATTAGGTTTCATGAGTACCGAGGTTTGCTGCTACAAGGAGATTAATAAAGTGAGTTTTTATTAATATATTAATAGCTTAGTTTAAAATAAATAAATTTGCCAAGTTTCATTAAAATATAATCATAAACAAGCAAACTACAACAGTTTATGTACTCTCCGTAATAATAACATATGGGAATTTTAAATTTAAAATATTTTGTATTTTCTCCGTAATCAATAAAAACGCTTCAATTCACTAAATTATTTGTTTGATTAAGATCTTCAAAATAGTAGGCCTACTAGGCCTACTTTATCGCTAAATTGAGATAGGTACACATTGTGATGTATTTTAACCTGAATTCCAATTGAATGCCTTATTACTGACTACAACTAAGGTACCAATGTTTGGAATTTACCTGAATCGAATGGATACCACTGTATAGATTCAATACTTGTTACTGGGCAGTTAGGAGGAAGCTCTCCGGTAATGGTTCCACAATGAGTCACTGGGTAGGATAAAACCTTGCTTCCATTGGAGTAAAACATGTCATATATCATCACAGTGCCATTCTGGTCACCCGACAGCAAACTAAAAAATATAGTGAGACTGAAAACCATCACATGTGACTATGCTATAGTCTCTTATATCATTAGAAAATTAATACATTGAACAAAGCAATTGGAGTTCACACATAATTCTTAATTAAACGCTACTTGGATGTTTTTTAACCAAACCTATCCAACTATCCGAACCCCAACATTGAATCTCAAATTATTCAAATCAAATTTATTTTGCGAAAACATAAGCTCACTCTGTCTTTTAACAATGAGTCATACCCTCTACCCGTCCTGCTCATCATCCGTTGCTATTGTTCTGTCAAAGAGATTAGCTGTGCTTGTCTAATGTGTCATATATTCAATGACATGTATTTTCAATACAGTTTGCTTACTTTCTGTTCATTACATTTATAGGGTGAATGTTAGTAATTGTGAACTTGGGCAATTGTGAACTAGATCTGCTATTTCTTAGTTTATTTTTCATTTTAGTAGAATATGATGTTATAACACGTTCGCTACTGCAATAGTACGAAATTTTTCATTCACATGGACCAGTGACGCACATATGATAGAATGGGGGAGCCGAGGTGGGGGAAGCCCCTGATGCTATTTGACCTGTTAATTTGTGCTCCTCAGTTTTTTATAAAATTAACCTGGAACTTCTGTGCTTTACGAGTTGTGTTTTATATCTAAATATCCAGTTTTAATTTCTGTTCAAGATTTGGAAACCAGTTTTTTGTTTTAATAAACCGGTTGTAAAATATAAAGGAATTTTACTAATAAAATCAAGTCCCTGCAAATATCAGAGATAAGATTTGGCCAGAGATAAGACGGCAGCTAGTAGCAGTACAGGAGCTGACCTTTGGAACAGATAAGCAGCTCTGCTTCTACATAAAGCAGGTTGTTTGTTAACATGTTACATAAAGTTTGACAATAGATAAGGAAACCTCTGACTCTACCAAAGTCGAATTGTTATTACTACACCTTTTCTGATTTGTTTACTAACATTTATATGTTAGTTTTTATAAAGTTTTAATTGATGCATGCTCATATTTTGTACTGGTAAATAGGAAATTGAATTTAGGATGAGATCTGAAAATCCTAAAGTTAGTCCCAATATAAAAATAAATCCTTCTATTAATATAAAGAGTTGTTTTCCTAATGGAGTACAAACCAGGGCCAAAACTAAATCTGCTAGCATTGAAAAACATCAAAATAAAAACAAGCTTGGCAAATCAACACCTGATAAATCATTACTAACAAATTTGAAAAAAACAGAAGCTTTAGTTGAATTAGTAAAAAATAAAGCTGCTATCTCCCACTCACAGGAGTCTCAAACGCAGACACATGTTCATATAACAAAACAAGCTGAAACTCAGACTGATATTAGTAGTATATCTATAGCAAGAACTGACGAACTATTAGGACAGAAATGGTTAACTGATGGAACTATTCAACCATATTTTGATATATTAAATTCATCCATCCTCTCAAATCATGCAGCAATAGCAATAAATCCCGTAATCAGCCATGCTATAAAATGCATTGATGAATTTGCACACTTTGTCGAACCACTTAACCTTAAGAGTAAAGATTTTATTATAATACCAGTCAATGATTCGACAAGTCTAGACCAAGCAGGAGGATCCCACTGGAGTGTCCTCTTTTACTCCAAGCAGGACCACCATTTCTATCACTATGACTCTATGGATGATTTTAACACAACCCATGCTAAGCTGATTAGTAAGAAGTTGGCACGTTTTATCGAAGATAAAAACGAATCCGGGTTTTCAAACATAAAAGGCCCAAAGCAGTTAAATAGTTATGACTGTGGTGTGTATATGGTGTGTGTAACAGAGATGTTGATATGTGACATTATGAAAAACAAAAAGATCAATTTACACAACATTCAGAATTTACTTCTCTCTGAACCTGACTTGATATTAAAACGATCTTGCATGGCTTATGTCATAAACAACACACTAATTTCAAACAGCACATTGCAGGAGCTCATCACTAAGCAGATCAGCAACCTAGTGCCAGATAAATCATCTGCACAGTCATTAGAAATTGTTTCATCTAACTGTACAGCCTCTCCTCAGTTTGGGATAAAGTCAGCGCACAACGAGGCCTGGACCCATGTTAAGTTTGGTAGAAAAGGTCATAAAAGGGAAGCTAAAGCATCATATGTAAACACTGTAAATCGTTTTAGCGTTTTAGGAAAACCTGAAAAAGTACCTAGTATAATTATGAAGACACCGTTCTCATATGAGCAGACCACTACTACAACGTTACCGAATTCAAGACATCAGAAGAAAGGTGAAGAAAAGTTAATTGAACTACAGAATAGCCAATCACATAAGTTTTCTCCTCGTCAAGTAAAAAACAAAGATAAACATACACCAACAGTTTCTGTCATTGGTGACAGTCACAGCCGGGGTTTAGCTGAAAAAATTAAAACAGAGAGTCACGGGAAAGTACAGACTACAGGGGTAACTAAGCCAAATGCAAAGTTCTCACAGCTCAGGAGTGACATTTTGAACAGTAGTTTTGCAGATGTATTAATATTGTTTGTAGGAGCTAACAACGCATATGACTCAGATCTAAACGGAATATTCAATAGCTTCAAATCGGTTTTATTAAAGGCTGAATGTAACTCTCTTTTACTTATTAGTGTACCCTTCAGAAAAGACCTGCCGCTCAACCACCCAATAAACACCAATAGATTTCACTTAAATTTGTATTACAATGACTTAGCTGGACAACTGGAAAACTGTCAGTTTGTGGATATAAGTCTATTACCTAACAAGTATTATTCAAAGGATGGTGTACACTTAGCCTATGCTGGGAAAAAACTCTTATGTGAAAAAATAATGAGTACCACAGCCCTTAGTTCCATCTTTGTAACCCCGATAGCACACAAAAATGCCTGTGAATCTGCTGGCCCTGTTACTAGACCTAGGACTCCCACAGCATCTGTTCCGCTGCCTGCAGGAAGTGGAATAACAGTCCTGGAAGCTAACATGAGGGACTTGTTCAAGCACTGCAAGCAAGACTCAACTGTAGCGCTGGCCCACACAATATCATCGGATTTTCATCACCCGAGACACATGACAGCTGGCGTGGCTGTGGCATTTAGAGAGAAGTTTGGACGCCCACAGCCTTCTGAACTGATCTACAGTAGGCTAGCACGTCAGAGAACGGAGGACGGCCCCACCATCTACAGTTTGATCACTAAGGACCAATACTCTGGGAAGCCAAATGAAGCAGACTACGATGAAGCATTTCACCAGCTTGAAACAGATTTTGTGGCAAACAAATTTTCAACCCTAATCTGTTCAGCTATGGGTTGTGTTAGGGACTTGATAAAGCCTCAACATTTTATAAAAAATATTATCCATTTTCACCAGCGAACCGGGGCACGAGTCATTATAGTTTCTTCTGACCAAAAGGCGAAACGAAGACTTTGGAGAGGACTTTCGCACAACGAGTTTGTAAAGACTTTGGAAAATCTGATAGCCTCACACTCATCACTTGCCCCTGTCACCACAACACCCCAGAAGCAACAGAGCAACAGCAACACCTCCATCACACAACAATCACCATCTCCAGAATTTTCCACCCAATGCCAAAGTGAAGTGAGTGATAAAAGCCAGTCCAGTGTAAGTGAGTGCGTAAATGGAGCAGAAAGCAATTCAAGTACCCCGACCAACTCAGATGCAACTCCAGACTCCAGCAGCACTCCACCATCACGTGAACCTTTATCACCTTTTAAAGGATTCAATACACCAACAACTGAGAAACTGGACTACATAACTAGTAATTTAAGCATGTATGATACTAATAGACCTAGCTCTTTTATAAATATTTCACCTTTTTTAGGGAACATGACCCAATTTCCACTCTTAGGAACAAAGTAAGGCATACAAGTAATAATAGTAATAACTTTTGGTTTTTACATCTGAACATTCAAGGTTTTTGTAATCATTCTACAGATCTGTGTTTTTTACTGGAGAATAGTAGCAACAACATAAAAGTAATATCTCTGAATGAACATTGGTTAAACAAATCTAATATTAATGTATTAAATAAGTTAAGTGGTTTTAAAGTAGCTGACTATTTTTGTAGAGACAGAAAACTTAGAGGAGGCTCAGCTCTTTTGTTATCTCAAGAAATTGAATTTAAAAAAAAGAGATGATCTCAAGTTTTTAAATGAAGAAAATAATTTTGAATGTAGTTTTGTAGATGAAGTTTGTGAATGGAATACATTATTTATTTCAATCTATCGTATACCAAATCTGGACATTGATGACATATTTTTTGAGAAATTTGACTGTCTTTTGTCTAAACTTTGGCATGAGTCTAAGTCAAAAAACATTTTAATAGCTTCAGACCATAATATCGATCTTCTAAAAAACAATAACCGATCAAGAAGTTTACAATACCTTTGTTATCAGTTTGGGTTAAAATATCACTTTTTTCAACCAACAAGAATAACTCCAACCTCCAAAACTTGCATTGATAACATATTTTCTAACATGAAATTGATTTCAGATAAAGCTGAAACCCAAATTATCAATGCAGGTGCATCTGATCATGAAGCAATACTATTATCACTAGCTGACTTAAAACCACCCCCCTCAGCTTTAAAAAGATCAAATGTTTCTTTTAAAAGGTCATTTAATTCAGAAAATTTAAATTATTTCAAAAATAGTCTTATTGAATCAGATTGGAAATTTAATCCTTTTGAAACTGTAAATACAAATTATAATAGCTTTTTAGATTGCATCCTGAAAAATTTTAATCAAGCTTTTCCTCTTAAACAATCAAAATGTAATTCTGTTAAACATGCATCCAAAAACTGGATTACACTTGGTATAAAAATATCCGCTGAAAGAAAACGGCTTCTCCATATCGAGTCAAGATGGAATAAGTCTAAGGACTTCCAAGATTATGTAAAAACATACAGGCAAATATTCAAAAAAACAATTGAACTCTCTAAAAAGAAATACAATGATCATTACATTAAAAATTCTCTTAATAAGACCACAGCAACATGGGAGATTGTTAAAAGGGAACTTGGACAACAAAAGGAAAAATCTGAATTACCTTATCATGTTCAAAACGATTCCTTGAAACTTACACATTTGGCTAATAATTTCAACAACCATTTTCTATCTGCACATACATCAGTAGGGTGTAGTCCTAAAGCCAAAGAGGCTCTGAATTTTATAGATTCAAAGTACTACAAAAATACATTTAAATTCAAACTAATTACCAAATCAGAAGTAAGGAAAATTGTATTTTCCTTAAATAACACAAGATCTGTCGGTTGGGATCAGATTCCATTGTTCTTACCTAAGCATGTAATAGATGAAATACAAACTCCTCTCTGTAATCTCATAAACCAGTCCTTAATGCACGGTATTTTCCCAAACAAACTAAAATACTCCAAAATTTTACCACTCCATAAGAAAAATGATAAAAACACTTTAGAAAATTACCGCCCAATAGCTATGCTCTCAAGTATATCTAAAATATTCGAAAAATGTGTTGACCTACAATTGAGAACTTTTTTAGAAGATAATAATATTTTTAATGATTCCCAATTTGGATTTAGAAAAGGATTAAGTGCTCAACAATCAATGACTAAATTAGTAAACTGTGTTGCGAGTTCCTTGGATGGATCTCAGAAGACAACTGGAGTTCTGTGTGATTTAACCAGAGCTTTTGAATGTGTTCATCACAGTTTGTTAATAGACAAACTTGAAAAATATGGAATAAAAAACAAGGAACTAAATTGGTTTTCTACATACTTGAGGGATAGATATCAAAGGACTAAAATTATCAAATTTGGACATACTATAAATTCTAATTGGGAAAAAGTTGAAGTAGGGGTGCCTCAGGGATCAATATTGGGCCCCTGTCTATTTCTTATTTATGTATATGACCTACCAAATGTGTTAAAGATGGATGTATTTCAATTTGCTGATGACACAATGCTGTTATGTAAGGGACCCAATGTTGAATCCCTTCAGCACACAGTAGATACAGAATTGGCCGCTTTAAGTGACTGGTTTAGAGTAAATGGGCTCTCCTTGAACATGGACAAGACTCAAGTAGTTAATTTTCGATCAGATCATAGAAATAGTTTAAAACAGACCACTTTTACAAATCATCAGTTAATGTCTGAGGAGACAGTCAATTTTTTGGGTATTCATATAAACGAAAATCTTGACTGGCTTCCTCACATTGACAAACTACGGAAAAAACTTTCTTCAGCAATATTTTCTCTCAAAACAATTTCTCAAGTTACAGATACTAAAACTCAATTAACAGTTTATCATTCATATTTTTCATCATTAATGTCATAAGGAATACTTGTCTGGGGAAATTCTTGCCATGGTGAGAAGATTTTTAGGCTTCAAAAGAAGGCACTTAGAATCATAGCTAAAGTACCCCGAAGAAGTCCGTGCAAAGTCATCTTTCAGGCTTTTAGCGTTTTGACATTTTATGACCTGTATATTTTAGAAGCATTATTTTGGGTATTCAACAATTTGTCCATTTTCAGGGAGGGTCACACAAACCATAGGTATAACACTAGACATAAGAACCTAATTAAGCCCACTAGCCATAGATTATCACTATTTGAAGCATCACCTCAATATATTGGACCGAAATTGTATAACTTGATTCCTGATCATTTAAAAAACATTGCAAATCCAAAAAAGTTCAAACAAAAATGTAAAAAATGGTTATTGACAAAAACATTTTATTCTTTAAATGAATTTTTAAGTGGAAATTGGGAGGGTTAAGTGTTGAAATTATTTTATTTGGATTTATTACTATTTAGATTTAAGTATTATAATGCATTGACAAATGTCCTGTCATTTTATGATGTAATGGCATTCTGTAAATAAATAAAAAAATAAAAAAAAAATATGCGACGGCCGGCTTCCACCCATAGACTGCCGTCGCATATATGCGACGGCTAGTCACATTAAAATAGACTGACGACGCATATTTGCGTCGGGGTTCTAATGTTATTAAAATGCTTATATCTTTGTAACGGTCTATTTGAAGCCACTGAATTCCCTGCAGTGGTCTACGAAGATGTCTGACGCACAACTGCGTCGCTTGGTCTGTGGATATGATGATTGGTGACGTCATATGATCATTGGAAAAACTGGTCTTTACTTTTCTGCATCACCGTATGTATGTATGCAGTATTTATGATGCATTATCCTCTGTAGCTTTTATATTTGTTCAGTTATAAACTGTTCTTGAATAATCTGTCTTTTTTATTTACTTTTACTTCAAAACACAAACAAAAAAGAACTGTCGCATATATGCGACGTTTGGTCTATTTCAAGAAAACTATGATAATTTTCACTATTGTCTTTGTAGACCGGGCGTCGCAAATATGCGACATTACAAAAGGTTATAAAAAATACAAAAAACAAGAATAAATTATTTACTAACACGATTGTAGCACATTACAATGTAAATGATCACTGTTTTACAGGTTTTCACCCATGGTCTGTGTGTACTGTTAACCAAGTGACAGCCGGTCTACGTGTAAGATTCAAATGTATACCTCGGTCTGTGGCAATGACCGCGGCGTCGCATATATGCGACGCTCAGTAGCAAACGTGTTAAGTTTATTTGGTTTGTTATTTATCCAGGATACATTTAAAAAATACATACATTACATAAATGTAAATATAAATATAAAAAAATATACAAATATACATATCAACACATATGTATCTGCAGCTGGAACTAACAATAAAACCGGTGCAACTACAACAGTCGAATGGCTGGACTAAAGTAACTTCAAAATCAAAGCCATTTAATTGCACCAACAAAGAACATGTTAGAGTAAAAACAAATAACAAATTTGATATAGGCTACTTAGTAATATTTCACATTGATTTGACTTCATTATTAAATAAGTATTATCATGACCACTGGGTAGTTACTTTCATAATAAATAAGACTTAACAACTTACTACTGTCCGTTTCTGTCAACGTCCAAAGTTTGGATGGCTGATGCGTGTTCATCGTCGAATTCTACATGCTTGGACACGGTAAGATCAACAATTGTATTAATCATAATGGTTTTTTTCATGTATTCCTTGTTAACCACTCCATTTTGTCTTTTCTCAATACAAGAAGTAATATTCTTCACGTGATGTCTAATGTTGTCATTGAAGGTAGAGGGGGAAGCACAACTATTGGAAGTGGAAGGCTCCATATCTGCAACATATATTGAATAGGCCTGTAGTCTTATTAAAAATACATTCAAAGTAGGCCTAATTAATCTGTCCTTAGATTAAATCAAAATTTGGTGGATTTAGCTTCTTTTTAATGACAAATTTTGCTTAAAGGAATAATCAGCAAAATAGATTAGTGGAAATTAATATTTTCCATGAAATTTAAATGCAGCCTATTGTGTCAACTGTTGGCCTTCGTTGAAAATAAAATTGAGGAAAGTGTTTATGTTCTACGAAGTGATAAGATTTTATATTAACTATTAAAAAAAACACAGTAAAAAGCAAGAAAACAAAATGAAACAATGTTTTATGTAACAAAAGAAAACTAAAGAGGAGGTGCAGTTATGAGAGTCTTCGTCACCCCTCTAAAAAGGGCAAACATGTATTTTTATTTAGCCTATACTACCTACCCTATTTGTTGAGAGAGAATCTAAAAAAAGGGTTTTCTTGTATTTTAGGCACGTTTAATGACCTCAAATATATATTTTTATACCAAATATTTTATAGGCCCAAAAATGTAAAAAATGTAGGCCCACATTTTTTAAAATCTACAAATCTATAACAAACAAAATGAAATGACTGCCTTTGGTTTACCAAACCGGGTCGATTAAAGAGGCACTTCAAACGAGTCACAACAGTGAACAAGAACGACTGATCCAGATCAGTAAGGTGATCCGAACCTCACTTCATCCCATCTCTAGTTCAGTTTAGTTTATGAAACTTGAATGAAAAAAGAGGATATCCCTGTAGGAATACAACTTGACGTCTTTGTAAATTGATCTCTTTAACATATTCGATAGGCCTTGTGTATACAATTTTATTCTATAAATGTTAGGCTAACTTGTTTGTTATTAATAAGCTAAACAATATTGAAACAATATATCGCAGGTTCTCTACAGAACTGTACCAAATAAGCCAGTTATTTTAAAGACCTCAGTGCAGTGACTCTTCCTGGGGGGGCCTTAATCCTCACTTTACCATGAAAATTATGGACTGGCCCAATTCTTCAAAATGAAACTCATTAAAGGAATTGGCAAAGAGATAGGCTATATTTATTTTATTTTATTTTATTTTACATTTCAAACGGACAACTCCATTTTTTCACTTTTGAACAATAAGAAAGAAAGAACTCAAGATACTGACGAACATGCATATAAATGTTTAACCAAAATAAAAATGCCTAAATGCCTATATGGGGTGGATAGATCGGGTTCAAGTTTCTTAACTGGGCTATCCAAATATCAATTGAAACGAGCGATTGAAAATATCAATGGTAGCTTAATTATAGACTATCGACCTCCGGACCGCACACAAAATTAAATTTTCTTTCAAAGTGTCCGAAATTTCACACTGATTCTAAAAATGGTTGTAGTTTTTCTCGGAAAAGACCCGTTTACCCGGCTAATCGGGAGAACCCAGGAAAACATTTTTATGGAAAATTACATTGTGGGTACTCAAATTAACTGGTAGAGCAAAATGAACAAGAATATGCAAGAGTTTTCAGAATCCAATGGATATTAACGTCAGAGATACGGCCGGAAAGGCGTTGGAAAATCTAGTCTGCGCCAAAATGAAAAATAGGTTGGGTTAGGTTAGATTAGGTTGGGTTAAGTTAGGTTAGATTAAATGTTAGGTTAGGTTATAAATAACATCGGTAGCCTAATGTTAGTAGGTAACCTAACCTAACCTAACCCTACCCAACCTAACCCGAGCTAACCAAACCAAACCTAATCCAACCCAACCTAAGTTATTTTTTGTATTTTTGACACTAACTCGATTTTCTGCCGTTTTTCCGACCGTATCTCCATTAATATCCATTTTATCTTGAAAACTCATGCATGTTCTTGTTCAAATAGTTTTTCCCGTTAATTTGAATGGGTATTATATCAACGACGTAAATCGTTCATGTGGGTACTTGAACAATTTACGCGGACTTCCTTTTTCTATTGCCGACGCTTTTCCGGCTCTTTTTCCTTTAAGCTTAACCCTTTGAGTGCCAACGTCCGGGGAACCGGACGTTTTTAAAACGAGCCAAAAGTGCCGACGTCCGGCCGACCGGACGTTTTTAGAACGAGCCAAAACCGGACGTTTCGTAATTCAAATTCAAATTCAAATTCTTTATTAACTCATAACATCTTTTGGAGTACAATGTACATAGATAGGAGTTTTGTCAATATTTATAAAACTAATACTAAACTGTTATATTTTTGATAAAACTAATTACAATTATTAACACTTTAAAAATATAATAGTAATACTGAACAAAAAGAAAAAATTTATCTGTAAATTCCTAAAACTAAGCTCAAATTACAAGACTAAATACCAGTCTGGTCTGTATCAGAACAGGATATAGGCTTTTGTCCTGTATTTAATTCTACTACAGCAATCTTTCATGATAACATCTGATCTGTTCGTAATGATCGAACAGTTGTCATAACAACCGAATGGATACTCGGATTCTTTTAACCCATATATTAACATTGAGTCGAAAGTTACTAGATGCGATACATCGATTCTCGTTGGTCAAAATATCGAAAATTCGATTTTTACGAAATTTTAACCTACAAATCGCCAGATCGCGCTCGGCATTTTTAGCGTGACCTTCGGGAAAAATCGTCGGCATTTTTTGAGCGTTACTTTTTTTTCTCGCCTGGCACTCTAAGGGTTAAGTTATCTTTCAGATCCTCAAAAATTCTTGGATATTCTTGCTCAGCTCGCTCTAGCGGTTGAGTTAATTTGAGTACCCACAATGTAATTTTCCATAAAAAAATATTTTCGGGGACCCCATATTCCGGTAAGTACCCGGGTCATTTCCTAGAATACGACAACCGTTTTTGGAATTAGGCCTAGCGTGAAATTTCGGACATTTTGAAAATCAATGTAGGCCTAATTTAGGGTGAGGTCCGCAGGTCGATAAAATTACCATATCGATTAGGCCTACTTAGGTAACAATCAATATTTTTAACTAGGATTTAAGTTATCAATTATAAAATGAAACTGTCATAGCCTAACCTAACTAACCAAACTTGTTGATGCTGAGAAAATCAAACGAAGGTTTACTAATCAAATTGATAGTTTCAATCAATTTTAGGGTAGTGTAGCCCAGTTAAGAAACTGTAACCCGATAAATCTGCCTGTGATGAAGAACTTGGAGGGGACATGGTAACCTAACCTCAAACATGGAATCATTAATATAGGCCTAGCCTACAGTGATAGGCCTATTGTAGGCCTAGGCTGTATTAACACGTTCACTGCGGGTGTATCCGATCGGATACGGGCCGTGCGCTGTTCAGGTGCTGCCGTAACCGATCGGATACGCTCAACAATGCCTTTCGTATATCATCGTTTTTGCTCTAGCGTCGGTCGAAGGCAGACCTATTCCACGTTAGCGTGTAGTGGGTGACTTGCTTTTTGTTGTGTAGTAGGTTGGTAGTAAAATTTCCCCATAAAATCCCCGTCTGGCAAACTTAAAAATCAACTTGTTGTCCCGTCTTTCTCCCTCAAATTGGCAATACGATGGGACCGGCTACGTTCCAAGCAGTGCTGCTATCTGTGAGTGTTTAGCGAACTACGTCGACTCTTGTTATAAGACAGGACATCACCGCACGCTATTTGCTATTCGTCATACCGAAATATGAGAGCCAATCACCCGGCAATCGGGTTGGTTTGACGCTGCGGGCTGCGCCGCCCTGGGGCTACGCCTGTCATTTGATGGCCTGCAGCAAACGTGTTAATAGTTTAGTTTGAAAGTGACATGTTCTTTACTGGATATATTCCAGATTAGGCCTACTAATAACCATGGGTCATTATTGAGTTTAAGATACAATTCTTCTTACAGACTACCTCTCTATAGATATGGCCTAGTGCGGTTTCACCTCAGCCTGTAACTTTTATAGAACATACGCGACTTTACTTGAGCAACTAAAACCTTAGACACAGGAGTGAAATTTTCCCAAGAATACTGATGCATAATATGTTATATTGAGTGAGGATACTAATTTACCTGTGTAGTGGCTTTCAATCGTTAAGGGAACGTTTTAGGACTTGTAGTTGAAGACATAACCCTCAAGCAACAACTGTATTGTTCATAATTATTCGCGTTTCGAACAATAACAAAACAAATTAAAAGTTACTAAAATCAAATAAATTATAATAAATTTTCGATTAAATTTGCATATAACTATTCAGTTGTATTAGTAAACAAAACAATTAAAGGAATCGGTTTTTCTAAAGTTTGAAAACTCTGAATGTGTGTGTTAATGATATTTACTGTGTGTGTAGAGGTTATAGGAGGGAGGAAGGCTAGGTATTTTTTTGTTACTTCCACTCCACACACATCTAAAATAAAATGCATGTTTTACGCGTTTTTACGGCGGGTCACTGCACGGCCGCCTTTAACTCCAGGCCGCGGCCTTCGAACTGGCAAAGTCGCAAGTGGTGTTGTAACAGCTGTTTATTTTGGCACCAGCTAAAAGTAATTGTGTATTTACGAAAGCTTAGTTACTGGACTTTGACAGTATTGACTCCACTTTAAAAATACAAAAATTAATTTTCTATTTAAATATTGTTTTTGTTTTCAATCCTATGTGTTTTATTTTCAATCTTTCAATAAATTTATGTTCATAAATTTTAATTTTAATGAATAAAACGCGAAATAATGAGCTGGTGTCACCTGTATGCCATGTTATCTTATGGGGCGTCTGGCGCTAGACAACACCACTTGCGACGTTGCCAATTTTACCAGGCCGCGGCCTGTAGTTAGAGGTGACCGTGGTCACTGAGTTAGATTTAGATACACTCTGGGAAATACTTAACTAGATGTATCTGCGCTTGGCTCGGACGCTTAAAAATGCTACCTATACTATTATTTTAATATAGCTAGATATTTTAAATAATGTGATTTGGTGATTAATATGTAGTAAGATGAAAATATAGTTCCATAGATAAAACTGGTTAGTCTATGGTAGTTGTTAATATATTTAACTATACAGAGTAGCAATCATTGATTATACATCTCCCCTATATAATCAGTATAGTATCAATCCAACGTTTTAATGGCCAATGTGCATGGTGGTGAGTTTTCAAGGATGACACTTGCGTGTGGTGGTGAGTAGACTATAGCGTATATTAAGCTTTACACTTCAGAACAACCCACAACTTCGTAAAAAAATGGTGGCGGATAATCGACGTGGTTAGGTAGCGGAATTTTTCCTCAGGAAATTCCCCCCCCCCCATGAAAAAAACACCTACGTATTTTGGCGTCACGAGGGGCGAGACCTATACACGATCGAGAAACAGCCCGTGACTGGAAATTTACCCCCACTATATTAATAAATAATTAACATATTGTTTGTGCTTTTAAAGTGATTTGCCATATCATGGAATTTTACCCCCGGAAATCTCCCGAGTGGTCGGCTACGCTACGTAAGGGAGTATGTTTTATCCATGGTATTGACCAAGATTCATTGTAGTAGTCGATTTTATTAATTAGTTTATGTAAATCACGGATCTTCGGTTAATAATTACCTTCTAATATCCAGTAGGCCAATTAGGTTACGTTATAATTTAATTTAAATTAAAATGTTAGGTTAGCTTAACAATTAATAAAATCAACTACATCAATGAATCTTGGCCGATACGTAGCGTAGCCGACCACGTGAGTGGATTTCTGGGGATAGAATTACGTGGTCGGACATTTCTGATTTAACCACTGGGGTTATATTTTCGGGGGTAAAATTCCGGTGTCAAGTTTATTTGGATTTTGATTGATTATAACTGTTAAGTAAACCGTTAAATATGATTTGATTAAAATAAATAAAAAAATATCCTTCCTAAAGGTTCTCGGCCTGAAATCTATCCCCCGACCTGTGACGTCAAAATTACGTAGACATTTTTCTTGGGGGTAAATTTCCGGGGCTGGAGCTGGAATTCCGGCAACTCGTCTAAGTTAATAAGAATAATTCAGTGTGAAACTTCGGGACGCCGGTCTTTTTTAGCGAATTGCTATATTCACAGTTTTTGTACTAGTATATTTCTGAGTACCTCCTTTATAAGTTTTAACACTGTGTCATAAAGAAACCCCAGTCTATTGCATAATGATTTACCTGTAACTAGTTTAGTACACAATCATGACACTAGGTTTAGTGCTAAGCTTGTTATTCCTAGGTCCAGGACTGATAAAAGAGCTAGGTGTCATACCCTGTTTCAGGAATAAAATTGTTCAATCACCTTCCTGGTCATGTGAGAAATCTGGAAAGAAAGAACTTCCAAAATGCAATATTAGACTGGCTGGTTGAAAATCCTTTTTTTTCAAACTTATAGAGTCAAATTAAGAGTTTTTGACACTGTAGTTAGTTAAGTCAGTTTTCCTCGGAACAGTCGGTTTCCTGTTATTGCATAGTGCATGCATTTTGCATGAACTGCATTGGTTTGCTTTGTATTATTTTGTGCATGGTCTTGAAATTTTTTTCGCACATGGTTTGTTTTGATAGATTCTTGCTTGGTTTGATTTTTAACTTTGATAGTTATTTTATGCTGGCACATTATGTTTGTACACTGTTTGACATAGCCTGTAACAATATTGTTCATTGGCCGAATAAAATCATTGTATAATTGTATCATTGTATGAACAACAAAATTAAGGCTCAATTGTAACAATCTTAAATAGGCAAAGGGTCAAAGAGGGATCTACTTTTGTACCTGCACATCTACTTTTAACATATTCATGAACGTCGTTGGTGCCGGGATTTCTTCTGGACGATATAGTTGATTAAATCTAGGAGGATTTATTAAAGGAGGAGACACGCTCGAGCCAAAAACATCAATAAATCTACGAAGCAAAAACAAGAATAAATGTGATTTTAGAGACAAAACAAAAAATAACTAACTGCATGAAGCTAGAACAGGCATAACAAAGATATAAGGCCAGAGGCTTTCCTTCTGAAGGATGGCAACTGTTCGTTGAAGAAGTCAACTCGTAGTACGACTTCGTTTCCAAGACGCTGCAATCTGGCCAATCCACAATTGACAGCGTGTAGTTAGTTGGGAAGCACGAGAGTGAACGAAGGTATCCGAAGATAGTATGTTCCCCTTGGAATAAGGAAAGGAGTTCCCTCCAGTAGGCTGGCAGAATCGATCTCGCAATGGACCAATTTGAACAGGTAAAGCATATCAAGCAGCTTTCTTATGAGATGGAGAGGTTGGATGTTGAAGCGCTCCTGGAGCTGCAAAAACGGTGGGACAGGATACTTATAGCCCAGGTGGACACCCAAGACTCGGAGAAAACTTATCCGTGAACTTCTCTGTGGAAACATACATAATAACATTTTAAGGCTAACGAATCACACCAACCTATTAGGACCATTAGTAATGTCATATTAGAGATTTAGTCACTGAAATTGTAGTCAAGTAGTTAAAAATAAGACTACACATTATGCGAAAATATTAAGAACTTAAATGAGGATCGCAATATTGGAAACCTAACCAAGAGGAAGAATGTATTCATGAACAAGAATAGTACACCAGTTATGTTTTTAACTAAACACACCGGTTGAAGGATGATGGCATGTTTTTATTTTTGTTCCATGGCATCAGAGAACGCAAGAACTGAAAGTTTCACTTTTTACTCGAGGTTTATTTGGTATTTCTTAACATCAAGTTCTCAAATATGGCTAAATAAGATATTTACTGAGAGTAAATAAAACTACGTTATACACAGTTTTAACACTTGAAACATATATTTACACACATTATAATGTTTTAACGAGACGGTAAAATATATATAAACTATGATAATGGCATGAACCATTGACCGTTGCCATCATTTAAATTTAGTAAGCTCGTCCTAGAAACTGTGTGATCATGAATTAAAGTTAATACAACTATTATTTTATATTCCGATTAAGTTTTGGCGAATAATATATCATTATTATTTTTAGAAACTCTTAGGGAACACGAATAAATTGTTAATTTGTATAGATACATCATATTTATTTCAAAAACTCAACTAAAGTAATCATATGTTCAAAGTCCAAAGCAATTCTTCCAAATTTGATTTTAATAGTTAATAAATTATAATGTTTGGAGGGGAAAACACCATTCGATATGACATTTAATTTACTTTAAGAATCATATTGGTGAAAATCACAGGTCTTTTTTTAGTTTAGCGGCAGTTTTAATTCAAAACATCACGCGTAACTTTTTTCTCTCTCCCATGTTACAGCACAGCCGCCTTTAACTCCAGGCCGCGGCCTTCGAAGTGGCAATGTCGCAAGTAGCACGGCCGCCTTTAACTTCAGGCCGCGGCCTTCGAAGTGGCAACGTCGCAAGTGGTGTTGTAACAGCTGTTTTGTTTGGAAGTAGCTAATTTATTTGTGTATTTACGAAAGATTGGTTACTGGATTATGACAATATTGACTCCGTTAAAAATGTACAGATATAGATTTTTAATTCACATTGTTTCGGTTTTCAATTATGTATGTTTTATTTTCAATATTTTATTAAATTGATGTTCATACATATAAATTTAAATCAATAAAGTGCGAATTAATGAGTTGATGCACAGCTACCTCTGTGGCTGATGTCACCTGTCTGCCATGTCATCTTATGGGACGCCTGTCACTAAACAACACCACTTGCGACGTTGCCAATTCTACCAAGCCGCGGCCTCTAGTTAAAGGTGGCCGTGCAAGTAGGGTTGTAACAGCTGTTTTGTTTGGAATCTGCTAATGGTATTTGTGTATTTACGAAAGCTTGGTTACTGGACTATCAAAATATTGACTCTGCTTTAAATGTACAGATATAGATTTTCAATTCATATTGTTTTGGTTTTCAATTCTGTATTATTTAGTTTCAATAATATTTTAATAAATTTATGTTCATATACTTAAATTTAAATCAATAAAGTTAAAATTATTGAGCTGATGTCACCTGTCTGCCATGTTATCTTATGAGACGTCTGACACTAAACAGCCCCACTTTCGACGTTGCCAATTCTACCAGGCCGCGGCCTGTAGTTAAAGGTGGCCGTGGTTATAGCGGGTTTTTTTTCTACGGCTCCGCGTTCCCTTCTATAGTGTTTTGCTAAGGCTGGCTTCACCGCTACATGTGTATTCCTATTACATTACAATGCCATCTCCTATAAAGTAATACCTAGGTACATAAGTGTCGTCCCCATCTCAATTGATAGTAAACAAATGAAGTTCCGGAGTTAGCCAATTTCGCGTACCCAAGGGTAGTAAGGTACATGTCACCATAAGTCAATGATGTAACTGAGGGGTTGGAAGTTGAGTGGAGTCAACTGCGGACCGAGGGAGTGGAGGAGTCAAAACATCTAACCACACCAAATTTAAGCTACAAACCTCGGAATCCTCAATTTATTATAAAAACAAAAATCATTCTCTAGCATTTTGAAAAGGCCCGGGAAAATTGTATAGATGAAGTAGTGTGGCTACATGGTAGCTCCTCTAAGCCAGCTTTCTTAAAGCAAACTAGAAAAGGAGAAGAGGAAAAAGATTTGCCTAGCCTCAGCCTGGCCAGGCCTGACTGGAGCCCGGATATGAGTATGAGAATAGGTCTAGGTTAAAGCTTCTTCTTAAGCCCAGTCAATGGTTAAAAGCTTTAAAAAATGATACGTATTTTTAAACTTTTAAAATAAAAATCAGCTGTCGGCTGTCAGTTAAAATTCAGATCGTCAAAATGTGCATCTTGAAGTAAAATTATATAGTGTGTTTTTCAATTGTTAACTTATTTTGTTACTGAAAACTCATTTAGATTAATCATTTCTATTATTATTTATTACAATTTTTTGAATATCATGGGGTTATTTATTTCCCGGTTTCGGGTAAGTAGACTTGAATTAATGTAGGCTTAACTTACTTCAATAATTTAGAATTTGCATTACCACGTCATTTAGAACTAGGTAACAAAACCATTGTAGTCGTTGTCCTAGGTTAAATGTTGCAGTTAACTTAGGTTATGATTTATTATTCTAGCCTACCTACAAATAGGTTAATTTGTAGGTTGAGCTCAGTGCTCTTTTCTGTTGCGTGCTTACATGACAATGTATTGTTCAAGTCTTCAATGACTGCGCTTGATTGTTTACCAGCAAAGTTACTTTGCTGGGGTCTAGATTTTCTCAATAGGCTACCCCTTGATTATTTTTCCTAGTTATTAGTAATTTTCTCTTCCAGAGCCAGTTTTAAAGATATTCACACACCTTTGGATGAGTTGAGGATCAAACCTGATAACATTCTACGCAAGACCAAGGCCGATAACTAGGCCTACAAGGCTAGCGACAACTATTTGTAAGAATGAACCCTGATTAGGTTAGATTACAGAAACTCATTTAATTCCAGTTTTGTTATGAAACAACAGCCGCAAATCGTTATACCTAGAGAAATTGTAATATTTAGAAGTAACTATGATTCTGGGTAACTTAGTAAGTAAAATAATTGGTGTGAACCTGGCAATAACTCCAGCCATAAGTAGTGCGCGCGGCCAAAAAAATTTATTGCTGGCCGTTTTGCGGCAAAATACGTCCGCGAGCAATATTACCGATGATGCCAACAGATAGAGGACACTTTAACGGACACGACAGTATCAATATCATGTACCTGGGGGATAAGTTAAGGGGGGTAAAACCAGCAATAAGTTGTGCGCGCGCCCGAAAAAATCTATTGCTGGCCGTATTGCGGAGAAATACGTCCGCGAGCAATATTACCGATGATGCCAACAGATAGAGGACACTTTAACGGACACGACAGTATCAACATCATGTACCTGGGGGATAAGTTTAGGGGGGTATAACCAGCAATAAGTAGTGCGCGCACCCGATAAAATCTATTGCCGGCCGTATTGCGGAATAATACGTCCGCGAGCAATATTACCGATGATGCCAACAGATAGAGGACACTTTAACGGACACGACAGTATCAACATCATGTACCTGGGGGATAAGTTTAGGGGGGTATAACCAGCAATAAGTAGTGCGCGCGCCGGATAAAATCTATTGCAGGCCGTATTGCGGAATAATACGTCCGCGAGCAATATTACCGATGATGCCAACAGATAGAGGACACTTTAACGGACACGACAGTATCAACATCATGTACCTGGGGGATAAGTTTAGGGGGGTATAACCAGCAATATGTAGTGCGCGCACCCGATAAAATCTATTGCCGGCCGTATTGCGGAATAATACGTCCGCGAGCAATATTACCGATGATGCCAACAGATAGAGGACACTTTAACGGACACGACAGTATCAACATCATGTACCTGGGGGAAGAGTTTAGGGGGGTATAACCAGCAATAAGTAGTGCGCGCGCCGGATAAAATCTATTGCAGGCCGTATTGCGGAAAAATACGTCCGCGAGCAATATTACCGATGATGCCAACAGATAGAGGACACTTTAACGGACACGACAGTATCAACATCATGTACCTGGAGGATAAAATAAGGGGGGTAAAACCAGCAATAAGTAGTGCGCGCTCCCGATAAAATCTATTGCCGGCCGTATTGCGGAAAAATACGTCCGCGAGCAATATTACCGATGATGCCAACAGATAGAGGACACCTTAACGGACACGACAGTATCAACATCATGTACCTGGGGGATAAGTTAAGGGGGGTATAACCAGCAATAAGTAGTGAGCGCACGCGATAAAATCTATTGCTGGCCGTATTGCGGAGAAATACGTCCGCGAGCAATATTACCGATGATGCCGACAGATAGAGGACACTTTAACGGACACGACAGTATCAACATCATGTACCTGGGGGATAAGTTTAGGGGGGTATAACCAGCAATAAGTAGTGCGCGCTCCCGATGAAATCTATTGCTGGCCGTATTGCTGAGAAATACGTCCGCAAGCAATATTACCGACGATGCCAACAGATAGAGGACACTTTAACGGACACGACAGTATCAACATCATGTACCTTAGGGATAAGTAAAGGGGGTTATAACCAGCAATAAGTATTGCAATAAGTAGCGGCTAAGCGACTACATAGAACATAGCTACTGTGCACTGGTTTTAGTATAACAGACAATGAATAATGGTTAGTGCAGCAATGGTATAGCAATTGTTAGTACAGTTCTGAAATACAAACAAATGAAAGCGTGTTAGTTAGTAAAGAAGCCAGCAAAAAATTACAATCACTCTAATAAATCAACTATTTTCTTTTACTCCCATAAATCAAATATCTCACAGCTGAATTGCTGCTACAGTAACTATCTGTTACCCACGGGCTCCACCCCTGTTACTACAATAGTATTAATAAAACTATTGATTGGTTAAGTTAAGATGAAATAAACAAAACAGAATACAGTAATGGTAATGCAAACAAATAATAACAGCTGAGGTATTTTTAACATTAGGTAAATGGAAAGTTCCCTTTGGAAAGCAATTACGACCTTATAGGGCAGTTTATGAAATAATGAATAATTTTGCGCAAGGTTTCTCGTCATGACGAACATTTTAAGTATATGGTTTATGGGGGTGTGACTTGTAGTTTTCTCAAAAGTTCATGGGTACTTTTGACTTTATACATAGATTACAATAAACATTGACTACAAACTAAACACCACACATTATTTTAGGTAACACCGTGTTCTCACGGACCTACGCGATAACAAAACGAATTTGAAAAACCACCTTGCTGTCGACTCCCGCCCATCGATGTAGTTATTATACATCGATGCTCCCGCCTCGCCGTCGCCGACCCCGACTGCGACTCAGACTCACTGTCTAGTCTAGTGCAAAGGTGTTCGAATACAAGTATTCGTAAAAGTATTCGAATACAGGGGAGGCTACGAATTCACTGTATTCGATTCTTTAAAGTATTCGATTCTCCCATCACTAGTCTAGTGTCTAGTATCTCGGCTCGGCGAGCGCCGCGCACATCCAGCGCTGTACCCCGGCTGTACCCTGCGCACTGCGCAGGCGCGGGCGACTGATGCGCGGCCCGGCGGTGAACCACAAGATCAGCTGTTTCTGAACTAGTGTCATCTGCTAATTTGTTATGTTTACATTTTGGAACATAACTTCGGTGAATTGGCGAGGCGATTCTGCTAGTATGGTTTTAGTTTGATTATAAATATTAACAAACTATTATAAATATTATAAATACTATCTTAGTTACTTGTATAACTGTGTGGGAAGAGGTTTAACACCAGAAAACCTAGTACAGTATATATTAGGAACGGCAATGCCTCTCCTCCAAACTTCACGTTATCTGCCCACAACTATATTGATTATGAAATAAAACTGTGCTAAACAAACCTAAACCAAACTTGCTGCAATATTTTAAAATTCCGTTTGATAGCAGCATTCTGAAAGGAAACTGCTGTTCTTTAATATCCTAACTAAACTTTCTGTATCATTTCAAAAATTTCTTTCCCAAAAATTCCATGATTGAATCATAATTCATTTGTTCTAAATATGCAGCCTAAAAATTTAGTTTGTAAAGTGTTTCTTGATGATAGACTAAGTAAATATGAGGTTTGTGACATTAAATTTACTACAGACAAGACAAATTGTAACAAAAAAAAACATTATGCTATACTTCAAAAAATCTTTATTTAGTCTTTAGCTCTCAATTACTTTAAACTACTTTACTTACTTTAAACGGCCGGCAATAGATTTTATCGGGCGCGCGCACTACTTATTGCTGGTTTTACCCCACTTATTTTATCCTCCAGGTACATGATATTGATACTGTCGTGTCCGTAAAAGTGTCCTCTATCTGTTGGCATCATCGGTAATATTGCTCGCGGACGTATTTCTGCGCAATACGGCCAGCAATAGATTTTATCCGGCGCGCGCTTTACTTATTGCTGGTTATACCCCCCTAAACTTATCCCCCAGGTACATGATGTTGATACTGTCGTGTCCGTTAAAAAGTCCTCTATCTGTTGGCATCATCGGTAATATTGCTCGCGGACGTATTTTTCCGCAATACGGCCAGCAATAGATTTTATCCGGCGCGCGCACTACTTATTGCTGGTTATACCCCCCTAAACTTATCCCCCAGGTACATGATGTTGATACTGTCGTGTCCGTTAAAGTGTCCTCTATCTGTTGGCATCATCGGTAATATTGCTCGCGGACGTATTATTCCGCAATACGGCCGGCAATAGATTTTATCGGGCGCGCGCACTACTTATTGCTGGTTATACCCCCCTAAACTTATCCCCCAGGTACATGATGTTGATACTGTCGTGTCCGTTAAAGTGTCCTCTATCTGTTGGCATCATCGGTAATATTGCTCGCGGACGTATTATTCCGCAATACGGCCGGCAATAGATTTTATCGGGTGCGCGCACTACTTATTGCTGGTTATACCCCCCTAAACTTATCCCCCAGGTACATGATGTTGATACTGTCGTGTCCGTTAAAGTGTCCCCTATCTGTTGGCATCATCGGTAATATTGCTCGCGGACGTATTTTTCCGCAATACGGCCGGCAATAGATTTTATCGGGAGCGCGCACTACTTATTGCTGGTTTTACCCCCCTTATTTTATCCTCCAGGTACATGATGTTGATACTGTCGTGTCCGTTAATGTGTCCTCTATCTGTTGGCATCATCGGTAATATTGCTCGCGGACGTATTTCTCCGCAATACGGCCAGCAATAGATTTTTTCGGGCGCGCGCACAACTTATTGCTAGTTTTACCCCCCTTAACTTATCCCCCAGGTACATGATATTGATACTGTCGTGTCCGTTAAAGTGTCCTCTATCTGTTGGCATCATCGGTAATATTGCTCGCGGACGTATTTTGCCGCAAAACGGCCAGCAATAAATTTTTTTGGCCGCGCGCACTACTTATGGCTGGAGT